CTAGCATCCAGGTACACTGAAGACGTTCATTTCCTCTCGTGGCTTCCTGTGAACATAATTGCCATTCACACGGTGAAAAGGTTAATTTATTCACTGACAAGCAGGGTTGCTTTATAAACATGCAACATAAGTGGGAGAATTATCCAGGATGGCGACTGCTCTCAACCCGGAGGGATTTAACAAAGCTCCAGCCTATATTTGACTTGGCAGTGTGTTCCCAACTTGTCAGACTCTGCCTTGGCTTTGAAGAAACTTTCCCTCAACCCTTTCGTAGCAGCATGACACTCTACATCACTCTGAATCAGACTAAACATCCCTCAATAACTCATCGTTCTGACATTAGTAGAAAGCAACTCAGATGATAAGATTAGAAATCTATGAGCTCTAATTATCTCACTGAACTTCAGCAGTCAAAATACAGACTGTTGAGATGGCCAAGTAAAAAAAAAAAAGAATGCTATTGTTTAATGACAGAGCTTCATAAATGGTGTCAGCTAAGCCAAAGGTTTTATTTCCAACACATCACACATCTTTAGTTAACATCATAACTCTCGTTATGTCTGTTCCACATAGATTGGGGTGTTTTGGTCATGTCGTGAGACATATTGTAACCATACCATCCCCAGTCGCCAAGAATATTACCTTTATCATTTGACTTGTTTTATATGCATCATGTTGATAACATTGTTGTTTATGAGATCTCCAAATGAGCGGATTTGATATGAACAAGTCCCAGCTGAGTTTCAGTTCTGATACACAACCTGTAAAGGCGAACCTGCAGGTAAATACAGCAGCGATCATGAGACACTGACGCTGATGCATTTTCTGCTCATTACTCACTTTAAAAAGCTGATCTAAGGTAGCAGCCATCTGCTCGTTATGAGCACATCCTGACAGCAAAGCATGGAGCTGTGGCTGAATGTGGTTATTGTTACATTTTCCTCCTCGGGAACAGACCCGCTGCTAACATTGTTGCAGTAGGCATGTCCAGGTGTGTTAAGATATGTGTTAGCAAGAAACCACAGGAGTTCAGGGAAATACAACACCCACCCAGCGTAACCACACACAGATCTGCTGCTTGCAGTCATTGACACCCATTAAGAACAAATGTCACCGGGAGGACTGTAACAAGCAAAGCTGAGCCACGAAGTGACAACTGTGTCGTCTGAAGGCTGGAGCCTGGATCACGGCTACAGTCTTTGGGCTGAAGTCGATGGCAGAGATCCTTTAGTTTATTTTTAATGCAAGCTTTTGTGTGAGCAGCCTCGGCTGATGTGCAGAATTGCACTGCTGTTGCAATCAGGACGCCTCGGCTAATGAACACAATAAACGGGTTATACTGTTGGACACAGCTTAGGTTTGTAGTTTGGAATTAGGCTTTTTCTTTCAATTTGCTTGTTTTGTTGTTGTTGTTAGTATTTTCTACAGTTGGAGGAAACTTTTCTATTTATGTATGTTTTCATGACACTGAGATAACAACAAGCTCCTGACGTGAGTCGCTTTATTAAATTTAGAAATTTAGTATAAACAAAGCTTATTCTGCACATTTTGATCTCTATATTTTCCTCCTCTACCAGTGTAGCTTTACGTGACTGACAGTTAGAAATAGAAACGACGAAAGAAAAGTATCAATGCTAAGCTTGTGTGGAGCTATTCAATGTATCTTGTCTTAGGCAGTTTCTGTCTTCCCATAAAGGTCTCTGAAAAACTCGCTTCTGCCAATCCAGAATATTTACAGAATATTCATCATCAAACTTTAAATCTCCCAGAAAAATGATTCCTCCTAAATTGTCAGACCATCTTCTCAAATCCATCTGTGCACGTTTTGTCCCAAATTGGATCTGGATGTTAAGAGTTGACAGCTTCAGTAACCATTTAAGGCTTTTTTTTTTGTTCCATTAGGCTGATGGCAACTACATGTTTTTTCTCTCATGTCTCCTCAAAGCACCATGTTTTGCTCATCGACTTTCTGCTACATTTGAGGACAGCACTCCATAAAGGCAAACTTGTTTTTAACATGCCACAAGTCTCAACTGCACACGGTCATGTTGTCGTTTTTATTAATTAAATGACAGCATTGCAGACACAGAGGGGAAAATAACACTTTTTGCCACAGTGTCTTGAACTGTGCTTCAGCTTTTCCTTTCACTTTGTGGACAGCACAGAGATGCTGAGAGAGACCAACCTGCACTAGATCTCCTCCTTCCTATGCCCCAGTTGTACTTCTATCCCATGGAGGCCTGGGTTTGACAGCGTTAGCGCGAAGCACGTGAGCATTTTCAAATCTGTGGCCAGTATTGTAAAGCCTGTTCCTTGGGCTTTGTCATTTTTTTTTTCATTTTCACATGTCATTATTTGAAGTTTTTGTTACATTTAAAATTTCCCTCTGGCACTCAAAGATGACATATTTTGAAAATAAGGGAATGCATGATCCGTCCCCAACATTTGCAGCCCATAGTTTTCATGGTTAATCTGAATGGAAGCCAGATAAGTATTGTAAGGCCTGATTAGCTTGTTATGAGTCTCTGCCCTAATTTATTTGACTGAGCTCTCTGTGCGTGTTTGGCCGACAGAATGTCCCAAAACTCTTTGGATCCGTTTCAACTAAACTGAGTTATTTCAGTTTTGACAATTTTTGTGTTACGTGTGTAGTATTATTATGATAGTTTGAAACTGATTCTGTGTATGTACTAATTTCACAGACCACAAAGGATGTCAGGGTAGAACTTCTCACTCCCAATTTGTTGATGAATTTGGAAGACAACTGTTTGAATGCAGTTGAGGCACGTCATCTGTACACTTTGTCATAATCAATTAGGCTTCTTGTTGAATATGTCAGACAAGTTTTTCAAGATAATTTATAATTTAGTAATGAGTGTGCATAGTATACATGGCTACTGTTAACTCATTCTAATGAGGATTAATTCCTCTGGAGGTAGTACTGCTGTAACAATGCTGTGCAGTAAATCAACACTGGATAACAGTCATTTATTCATTTAATTATGTCTATTTAGTCATTTTGACTGCAGCTCTACCTATTGTATAGCTCATTTTCTCAACATGAGAATCCAACTCATTATAAAGAAAGAAATTAATTAATTAATTATGCTGATTTTGCCCTCATCAGTCAAAATGTCAAGTTTTACCCATATTACTAAAAGTGTATTCTTACCCATTTAAAGCCGGGTCATTTATCATTTTCAGGTCATTATTTACACAAGCACACACAGTTCCACAGTCATGGGAACCATGGTAAAACTTTCCTATCAGCCATATATCCTCAAGAAACTGCAGCTTCAGATGGGTTGTAAATTAGAAATGCTGGGGCATCTCGTTGCACAGATCCCCAGACTGGTGTAAGAGCTCTCCGAGGCCACACAAACCACTGTTTCAATTCAAATAAATCCTTCTGTGGCCAGGCTGACTGGTAAGCAGTATTTTGCAGTTGCATGCAACAGCAGAGAAGGACAGATTTACATTATGGCTTCATTTCTCCTGCTCTGGTGACACCGTGCCACTCTCCTCTGTGGCCCACCGTCCCAAAAGCCCTGAAGAGCATCACAGTGGACAAAACAGGGCTGTCACAATCTGTGTATTTTTGTTGCCTTTCTGCCCTTTTACCCCTCCCCTCTCTATCCCTCCTTTCTCCCTTATCTTGGCCAATAGATAGATGTATAGATGGATGTCTGAGGTCTTCAGGTATTTGGCTCCTTTGGCCTTACGTGAGGCTCCACACTGATCGGTAAGTTAACACAAGCTTGATTTCAACTGCCTGTTCAAATGTGACTCAGTTTGTTTTGCTGCCCATTAAAATCCCACTAAATTCTAATGAATAACAGGAGGCAGGCTCATCAGATTTGTGCAGGCAGTGGTAAATCCTTTTTTTTTTTGACTGACACACCAATCAGTGTATAACAGGGGAGAGAATCTGTGTTTGGAACAGGAGAGATGTTTGTGCCTTCAGATGCGACGCTCACGCTGCTAAATCTTTATTTTGTTGGTGTTTTATCCTTTATCTTTTTCTCTTTTCCTCCACAGCGGAGGGGAAAAAAAATCAATGTTTTCTTTTTACTTTGGCAACACTGTGAAACAAACACAAATATCACATGCCGGCGACAGAAATGAAGGATTTGATCCAGCAGATAAGATGAAGAGGCAGCTGGTTGAACAGAGCTCTCCAGAGGATTTGATGCTGCTGGTTGGTTGGGGAGGTGACGGCTTCAGGAGACGCCAAAGTCACAAGCAAATGATTGCAATTAGCAGAGGAAGCACAGGGGACTAGTGCCCCCCAGTGTTCACATGAGGACTAAATCCTGCAGTTTCTGTAAGCTCTTTCATAAGGAATTCTCGTTTTGTAACATACACTGGGTCAATAGGCTCTGAAAATGCTCTTTCAATTGCTTATGGAATGAAAAGTAATATATGAGTCTTTTTCAGTGGCCTCTGCAAAAGTCAAAATGCTTACTGAATGTTACTAGGACAGACATGATGGTTCTTTTAAAGGTTGATAAAAGATTCTTGATTATGATCTAATTTACAGGCTTATCTTACTTTTGGAGGTTATGGTTCTTTAAGAAATGGCAATAGATCTTAGAACATAGTTTTAGCAATGAGTAAAAAACTACTTGAATTAACTTGGTAACAATGTGGAAGAAGGAAGTAAATAAACCATTTCTGCCTTGTTGGTTTAATGATATTTTTAAGATGTTCATCTTAATATCCCATCGGGCTTAATGAAGGATACATCCTCTCCCCCAGGGGAGCTAAAGTCCTGTCTCTGTGGGAACCGACTGATAGCAGGTGGACTTTGCCCTCAAGGGAAGTGAACACTACAGGAAGAGCAGATTACTGGTAGTCACAGCTGAGGTAAGACACATTACAATGGATTGGAGCTGTAATTAATTGATTTCTGCCTACATATTCATGTCGAGACTCAAAATGTTCCGGGATACTTTAGATACTTTAATTATCTTAAAATGATGGTCAGGTTAAATGCTTTGAATGAAAAGAGAGACATTTCTTGTCTTTATCATATGTGTATTTTCCCTTTAAGTCAGTTCCAGCTCTGATTGCAAACAGGAACAACTAAAGCAATGTGGCTTTATCTATCAGATTATTCACTACTGCCATTAGAACATTATTCAATATTAATTAGTATTATTACCAAAGGGGAATGTAACCATTCATTTAACCATAGATTTAGTTATGAGCAGTGGTGATGTTTATTTTTTATCTTTGTGTGGTAGCCTCACAGTTAGGTTACTGAAGTTCATTGCTTTACAGCCTTGGAGCATTGATTATTGTGGAGCTAATTATTACTTTACTTGTTGAATGATAAATACAATATAATCTTAAGAGTATGTATTTAGTTCATTACTACCGCATGCGTTTTAAAAAGAATCCTCAAGTTTTTTTTGTGTTCCTGTCTTTTTTTTACATTCTGTCCGGCCATGCCCAGTGCTCTGTGACATTTAGGTTTAAGGCTATTATTATGAATATTAGTCATAGGTAGCTGTTGAATGCATCATTTCTTAATTGCCCATTCATTTGTTCCACTCTGACTTTTACCCCTTTGTCATTATAAGATTGCCCATGGAGGCGCTTATGATGGATGCTTCTTTACCTCTGCATGTTTTTTAACTTAACTTCATGTGCTATTGTTCTTCCCTCATCAGTTCCACACCTAAATTGTTGAAAAGATACGCTTAAATTTGGTGGGATGGAACAGAATGATGGCCGCAGCCATGAGGACTCTGAGTTTCACCCCCCTCCGTACAATTCCATATACCTTGAACAAAACTGCAGAGGGGTGCTTTATCAGGTTTGTAGAAATATTAAAATACTTTGGTTAGCATTGAATTAGGAGTGAATTTAATCATTTCTCTTCCATTTTCATGAGGGACGAAATATCATATCCACCCTTCAACAATGGAAAAATAACAATTTGTGTATAGGAATTAAGGCAATGATGATTGGTGTAATGTTTGTAACGGTTTGGTTCACAGCTGCAGTCATGCTGAAATGTACTTTACACCTTTGGCATGTAGGTGGGGAAAGGAGACATTGCGGTGGTCTCCCCTCCCGCGGCCTACAGCAACATGGACCATCCTGAGGGCCCAGCAGCAGTCGGAGGTGACCGGCAGGACGGTGAGGAGCCACCTGCCTACTCCAGTGGCTTTGAGGAGAGCGGTTTCAATGATGCCGCTCTTCGAAAAGGTGAGAGCCAAAGGACGGGATGCATACACAAACAGACAAACAGAAGCCAAGAAAGACGTGTTGTATTTGTTCTGTAAAAGGTGAAAGTAGATGGCCCATTTTTACTCCCTCATTTGGTCTGTTTGATTGATTTGGAAATTGACGTTGCTCCCTGATCCCTGTTGTACACTACCTCCGATCCTAGCCCCCATCCCTCTTTTTTTTCTTTTAATGGGAGAATGTGAGGTTGGTTTCAACAGAACAATCTGAAATCTGTAGCATCAACAACCCCACCTGCCCGAATGCTACGCTCTGACAAATTTTCAGTGGTGTTGTTTGTCTTGCTCCTGATGCTGAACCGCTCTGTCTCCTGTCACTGTTTTTTTCTACCTTTTCAACTACCAGGTTTCATAAGGAAAGTCTACCTGACCTTGATGATTCAGCTGCTGTTGACTGTTGGGATCATCTGTGCTTTTCTTTACTGGTGAGGCGCAACACACAAAGGAATTATTTTAAAAAGAAATGAAGAAAAAGAGGATTCCACGCTCAACACCTACCCATCTCTGAAATGTCATCTGTCAACATGTGAAACTGCAAGAGTGGTGCGACTATCCCAGCCGTCCTGCAACGATACACACAGTCCTCTCTCACGTTTGTGTAATAGATGCAGTAAGAAGCGGGCTACAGTGATTACTTTTGATAAGTCGTGTTCCCCCATCCTGTGTGCACTGTTCTGTCCTCCATTAATATTTAATACAATCATTCCACAGCCTCTACCAAATAAATAGAACCTCTAATAAAGACTCTCCTCTCTATCTTGTCACCCTCTTTTCATCCTATAACAGGAGCACACTCCGGAGATGGGTATTTGACAACTACTGGTTTCCCTACTCCATGATGTAAGTCACAGAAAACATTTTACCTGATTGTTTGAATTTACATTAAAGTCTTGAGCCACTCCTCGATTCTTGACATGTTGCCAGGAAAGGAGGAAACGGATGCAGAGATTTATTGAGACATGCAAATATGAATGGAAATTTGCGATTGAATGGAAATCTGATAGAGGTTGGTAATCAGATAAGCTTTGTCATCACTTTTTAAGCACTTTATAGTAGTTTTTCACCCCAAAGCTCTTCTTTGGATGTTGGATTTTTTTTAAGTATCTGCTGCTTCTTCCTCTACTTGTCTCTGACTTTCTTTTTTAGGAGCACTCAGTACATCGTGATAGGGCATACCAAGATTGAAATAGATACCTGGGAATTTTTTGTTTAAAAATACAATGTCTGTCAACTTGTATTCACTTGGGCATATCTCAGAAACGCAGCATAGAAATGTGCAATAGGCTGCTAGTAACTAAGGGCCTAGTTGTGTCAACACAGCAGAGGTTGCTTTTACTTAGATACCTTTGTTTTGTTGGATGATTCATAGGTCAGTGAAAAAAGTCAATCGCGAAGACCTGCTGAAAATAAGAGACAAAACAAGCTCTGTGGATTCTCAATGAAACCTGGAAGAATTGCTCGGGACCAAAAATCTTGCCAAGAGAGGGCTGAAAACATTGTGTTGGGAAACCCGTAGTTTAGCTCAGCTTTCCATCCAGCTAAAGAAACACCCAGTAAATCAACATATTGAGTACAGCGTTGTTGTTGTTGTTTTTTTGTACTTTTTGTGCCTTTATGGTCTGTTTATTTTCCATTTACGATGTACAATACATTCACTGTTAAACAGGTCAGTGACGCTGGTGCTCATTTTGATCTTGTCCTGCTGTGACAACATCCGTCGTCGCGTGCCCCTCAACTTTATTGCCCTGGGCTTGTTTGTGAGTAGAATCGGTACCAGCCAGGCATCAAATTAAACCGCCATCCCACCTGCTCCATTTCACTGTTGTTTGGTGGTGTATTTGCTTTCCATTTATCTGCCCTTCTCTCTGTGTTTCAGACTGTTGCTGAGGGGCTGATGCTTGGATCTGTGGCAGCGTGAGTGTTTGCTTCCAAGCATGAGTCTCCTCTTCCAAACGGCACAGTAATAATCTGGTTTCAGCCATATCTGATCACTTGTGTAATGCCAGCACAGCATCATCAAACCAAAAAAGACCATGGCCACTTCAATCATATGAAGTCCCATTTTCTCTGATTTTGGCTTAAGATGGATCTTAGTCCCGACTACTGCAAATGCAGTTACACTATACTGACATTTGTATGCACAAATGACTTAGAATGCATCTGTGAGGCATCTCTCGACTCTCTTAGAAGCATTCAGGGTGGACTTTCAGTGATATACTTAGATGATCACATTTCTAGATTAGCACTAGTACTCATGGGAAATATTGGTAATACACTGAGAAATGCTGATTCTGTCAATGCCTGAGATACATAACAAAGACTATTGAAAAAACCCAAAACAAATGTGCATCTGCACTTGTGTATATGCTCTGTCTGTTCATTATGGGTAGTATTTCCCCAACTCAGCCCTGTTTGACATGTCTGCCTGCAGGTACTTTGAAGCCGAGGCAGTTATGTGGGCTGTGGGTGCAACAGCGTTTGTCTCCTTCGGCCTGAGCCTGTTTGCTTTGCAGTCAAAGGTAAGATCAGTCACAGACTCTGAGCTCCAGCCTGCAATTCAGCCAAAAGCGAAATTTCTTAAACTGAGGCGACTTGGCATTGGTTGTAAATGTCCGTACAGAGAGATGTGTTTCCTGTGCAGTCGTATGGATCGTGTTAAGCTGAGCTGCAGGCCAGATTTTCTCAAACAGGGTTTTGCTTAACTTACAAGCAAATGTTTACAACTGTAACAAGATTACTGTCCAAGGAAACCTATGATGTTTTTTTTTTCCTGAAATTGGTGTTTAATTCTTCACATCCACAGGTGGCAGAGTTAAACCTCTCTGGATATAAGCTTTTAGTAATGATATTTACAAATGGTGTGGAAAACTGGTTATTTTGACAGTCACCCTTCCACTTTTTTAGATCAGCCTCCTGTTACCGGGAATAGAATTAGCTTGGGGTGATCATGTGTGCACAGGGCTGTATGAATGAAACCTGACTCTGTGACTACAGACTGTGAGGATATAGTTTTACATAAAAATAAGTAAGGGTAAAAATAAAGGAACTGGCCATCAAGATATTACGTTAAATATATAAGTGTGGACAAAAAACGGAGATAAGACATGTTTTTTGAAGTTATTTAACACAGAGTTAAAGAATGACACAGAATGGCCTCACCATTTAATTTGCACTGTTACATTATTTGAAGCTTGCATTATGAATGCTGAATAATCATACTGTCAACAAAAAAAGAAAAGGAATAACTGCCAAGTGCAAGTGCTGTTTGCTGCATTCTAATTGTGTCTTGATTCTTCTTTAATTGCTTCTCAGATGTTTGGCATTGCAGACATTTATTCTTTTTGCTTTGGTTGTTGAAAAAAACAGCAATAAAACAGTGAGGGTTTGATGATTATACCAATAAAATGTCTGGTTTGAGATGTCTGCTTTATATGTATCTGCAGCATAAAAGCAATCGCGGGAGGTTTTGATAGAGGGGATACTGTGCTGTAAATGTGACACCTCCACACACACACGCACACACAAAATGTTCTAATTTTTTCAACATCTCGTTGATTTTGCAGTTTGCAGCAGCTCTTGCTCTGCAGTTACACAGAGCCTTTTTGATCTCTGTCACACCGAAATAAATGTCAGACGAAGCACCTTACATGTTCAGCTCGGCTCCTCGGGTGACCTTTTTTCTCTAAGGCCCTGAAAAGAGCATTTTGGCCAAAAGTGCCACTTGCCCTCCCCTCCTCTCTGTATATGTCGCTGCACATTGAATAATTACCAGCTGTCCTTATATCCAGACTTACTAGGATTTTCTTAGTGTTGAGCTGAAGCATGTTTTCGTGCTTGCATAAATTGCACCACCTCACAGCACAGGCAGCTCTGACTTCAAATGACACGTTTTATCTAGTTTTCTGCAGGACTAGCTCATGACAGTCCATGTCTCTGTCTCTCCTGTCCCCCACTTTCTGACACCAGTGGGACTTTACTGCAGCAGCTGGCTGCATGTGGGCATTGGGCTGGTCCCTCTTTTCATTTGCACTGCTGTGTGCAATCCTCCGCTCGCAGGTAAGCCAAGCAGCTGTTTTCCTTACACAGGTATGAAATGAACTGCAATAGCGTGTGTTCAGAAGCAGGCAGCATGTGCAGCTCCTCAGCGTAAATCCCGAGAGCACAGCCACCAACCTGTGAGCTAAACAGACAATAAAGAGAGGAAGTCCATGTGTCTTCAGTCTCTCAGGGTGGGTCAGCCAGCTGTATTTTCACTTACAGTATCTGTTGCTGTTTTAGCAATATTTGTCTAAAGTAAGGATTTGTTTTTGCATCGAGTGTGTAGTTTTGTTATGAGAGACAGACGAAGGAGGAGTTCAAATTGATGCAGTCTTGAAATGTACCGTCTCCACCTTATCTGCCTTTATCGTCATACAGTTTTGCCAAACAATGGAACAAGAATAAGAAATGGTGTGTACTGAGTTTGTCATGTCCTGAGCTAAAAGCTGAGGCTGTGTTAGCAGCACATGGCATCATTTTATATAGAAAGAGTAAAAGATTAAATTCTAAATGGTAAACAGCTGAATTTTTTCCCCATTTTTGAAGGACTTGGTTTAGTACCTCTGCTGATTTTGTGTCTGATTCTCTTACAGTACCTTTACATCTTGTACGCCTGCCTGGGAACACTGCTGTTTTCTTTTGTAAGTGCACTCAAACTGTCAAGACACTAAATGGTTGTCTGCAACACTTTGCATCCAAAACTAAATGAAAATGACCTTCAGAGGAAAAAAATCTGACATCAAAGGAGGCTTAGTGTCAAGAAGAATGTATGTGATGCGGGCTTTGATCTCACGGCCAAGCAGGCTCGCAGCAGTATTTTTGTCACAGTAGTTAGTATAATTCTGACGTCCTTGTGCACTTTCACTTCAATTACACAATTTTTACCAGCAGTGGTCTTCATTTTCACAGCTGTGTCTGTCTGAGCTTTTGGCATTAACAGCAAACTTTGTGATCCATCCAGTCAGACGGTGGAACAAACTGCTGCTGCATGCGGAGCTGAAAAGGATGTCAGCAGCAACCCGCAACTTATCATCTGACTCTCCTATTATTAATGTGGCCTGTTCATATGCGCAGCCACGTGTCTACCAAATGTTGAAATACTGACATGTTTTCTCTCAAACCCATTCCTGTTCTTTTGCATTTTTCATCGCACAAAATGCAGCCTTCAGATGTCAGTATCATTACAGCGTCTGTCTGTCTCCGCAGTACCTGGTGTTAGATACTCAGATGATACTGGGTGGGAAACACAGGAAGTACGAGATCTCTCCTGAGGAGTACATCTTTGCAGCCCTCAACCTGTACCTGGATATCGTGACCCTGTTCATGCTTCTGCTGCAGTTCTTCAACCTCTGCCGCTAAACCAGAACCCGTGAGCCTGAAAGTGAGTCCCTGCACACACCCTCTCATGCAGCTGCTCATCATTTTCATATTGTATGAAGACTGATAAGCTCTGTTGGCTCCATCTGTTTCGTATTTAAATGCGCACCATGTTTGGACATATTTGAGCTCTTATCACCGTCAGGTTTTCATCATGGATGAACATTTGTTTCTCTTATAATGGTGATTAAGCTTTAAACGGTCTTGTACTTATTTAACACCTGAACTTGAAGAGACCACTCAGAGCACTTAGCACTACTTGAGCCACTCACTGACCCAGCAGTAGCCAGCATAGGGTTCGGTGCCTTCAGTGGCCCAGGGCAACATGAAATCGAACCACTAACCTTCAGATAAGCAGGCAAACGCTCTTTCCATTATTACCATTATTTTAACCACCCAGCTACTAAATTACAGAAACAGCATAAGAAGCTCAGCTTCTTCTGATCAAGAGTGCATTTTAAAATGTTGAACACTAAATCAAAGATTAGATTACATTTTCCAATTTGTCCTGCAGTTTCAAAGAATCTCACGGATGCAAAAACCCAAATCACACGGTCTAAAATTGAACACAAGGTTTATTGGCATCACACACCAAACAACTCTCATAAAAAGAAGGAATGTATCAAGTATAGACTATGAAAGTGCAAACAGCATTTCAAGGATTAGTTGCTTTACAATAGAAAATCTCAATGAGTTACAAAACGATTTTTAAAATGAATCCACCTGGGCATCGGAGGTGAGATACAAAGAAAGTAGAAATTCCATTTAGATTTGTACCCACATTCCATGCACAGCATACTGTTAGACAAACAGGGAAACACAAGTCATCTCCTCTGATTTACAAACTCACATAAAAAGTCCAACATTAACCGTATGACACTCACAGTTTGACAACTTCAAGACACTTAAAGCATCACTGCCTTTTGACTGGCTGGAGCCAGTCATCCGTCTGTACAAAAGCAGGCTGATCAGTGTGTTTCATTTACCATCCATTCTCAAAATGGGTCAGTAAAATGCCTACTTTATATTGCAACCTTTCCACACTTTGTTACTTCAGATATTTTATACAGATAAAGTATAACAACTCCTTCTATAGTTAATACAGTGATTTGAATTTTCTAGACCACAGGAAACCAACTGTCTAAACATGTAGGCATAAAGCCAAAACAAAAGAGAAAAAGAAATCCCTATCGTTACGATATTTATTCACAAGATTTGAAAGTATGACGTCAATTGTTTCAAACTATTTTACCAACTTCTATAAGATCTGCTTTGTCCGTCAATTTTATACGACTAAAACCGTCATGGTACAAAGACTGAAAGAAAAGGAGAGTGGACTTTGTGTTGAAATGTCACGTGAGAGAAACAAAAGTTTAAGGTAACAGGTGTTTTTGTTTCTGTGTAATTAGCACTCAGAAAAAATGTGGATAAAACTATAGAATGGAGACTGACTTAAAGGCACTGTGTTGTTTTTCTTTTGGCTCCGCAGAGAACCATTTCAATGACGTGGGTGCCCCGTGTTGTGGAAAACTTAACACACTTGAGTATTCACCATGCACAACCCAACCGTCTGCAGAACTCTACAAAGACTTTTGTCACTACTACAACTAAACAAGGCCCAGAGATAAAGTATGGTTACTTGGGCTTGATAAATGACTTAACTCGCCCTGGAAGTGATTGCCTGGATACTGACTGGCCTTCCCCACAGTACTAATACATAAACTGTGTAGTCATCGGGCTCAGCCATGACTGAGCACAAGCTGCAGAAAGAGTCAGGGCTTGCTGTCTTAAAGGTGTGAGCTTAATCACACCGTTCATCCCCATCAGTTTTTTTTTTTACTTTTGAGGACATTTCTTATTCCATCTGAGACTTTGAAATGAATAACCAATGACATGTCCATTTTTGAATGTTTTAAAGCACCCCCTTCACAGCTGAATAGCTCAACTGTTTTTTTCTCAGAATATGAAAGGTCCACATTATATTGTACACACACTTTGTGGTCTTAAACTGTACAGTTGTACACAGCACACAACGGCTTTTAGTGACTGAGATTTGTAAATGCCACTCCGATGCAATCTCCAATAAAAATATGGCTCAAGACGCTCACAATTAAGTTCAGATGAGTTGCAGAGATTGCGATAAGCAGGCACAATTTGCTCTGAAGAATCCACTTGGTGACTGCAAACTTTGCTTTTGCAAGTCGGTGTTTGGCTGTTTGGCCCCTTTAACGTGTGCAGGTAAGGAGATGGGTGAGAGCCCCAACTTGTTTCCTGTTGACTGAATGCTGGAGTGAGGATGAACTCATCATGCATAGCCTCAATAATACCTGATCCAGGATATTGTAATGGGCTTTTACAGCGGGGAAAACAAGAATGTTGCAAGACTAAAGAGTCTATATGTTTTATCTCCTTCAACTTCATTCAGGAAATGGGTATTTATTTTTATCTGTACAGGCTCCATTTAAGGAGACACCTCCTTGAAAATGAGTAAATTTCTATCTACGGTAATTAGTGCAGGAAGGATGCTTTTAGAGCGTGCTTGCAATACGAGAAAAGCGCTGAGCTGATCTGATTGCTTTGGGCTAAATAAATGCTGTCTGATGCTGTGTTCCATTTGAGTGAGTTAGCTCCCAATAAACAATAACAATAAGAAGGCTTTTGCCATATTTGAGCTTAAACCATCGCCGCAACAGACTTACCAACAGAAGTCCGACGCGTGCAGAGGTTTTGAAGAGAGATATGAACTGACAGCAGAGCTAAAGTTTAATACTGCAGCCGTCACCCCTTTTCATGCTGAGGGCAGTGATCAAGCTGGTGAGGTTCTTCTAACTTTCCAGTCAGAATTGGTGGGACATTCTTGTTGCATTTTTCTGCCGGGAACTTTAAATTCTGACTTCCTGAAGCTCTCACCAATCTCAGCCACACAGATCATACCAGGTGCACTTGGTCCTCCCACTCAGAGGAGCTGGTGCTGGGCAGCTGGTCAGACATAGAGTCACACTGTGGAGTGTCGACATGGCACTTCTTTGAGCTGGCATGCTCAGCATACTCTCCACTCGGATCACCGGCTGCCATGTAAGGTAGTGAAACGGGGTCTTGCCCTACTAGATCTAACCGCGTCGGCCTCTCGGCGACAGCGCTCTCCTTCTCCTCCCTGACACTCTGAGAGGAGAAAGCCACCTCAGCCATCAGCTCCTGAGCTTTCCTGCAGTCAGGGAGGACAGTGTCCCCGCCTTTCTCATCATCTTGCAGGCATTCTACCGTGCCTGTGAGGAGTGGATCTTTGTTAGAGTCGGTGTCGGAGGAGGTGGAGGGGACCAGGGTGATACCTTGAGGATTCATGTCATGGAACCAAGCCATAATATTTCCAAGAAGGTTAGCATTCGACGCTAAAGCAGAGGAGGAGGATGGATCATGGCTGCCGCACGTGGTTGAGTCTGTGTCAGTGGAGGAAGAGAACAGGCCTGTGGAGGAACTGTGCGCCCGGTGATGCCTGTCACAGTGTTGAGCAGAGATGGGAACGCCGGTGGCTGCAGAGTACTGGCTACTGATATTGCTTAGTCTTGCCAAGTTATCTCCCAGTTCCAGCAGTTCTGAGCTGCTGAGAGAAGCTCTTGGGAGAAATTCAACACCTGGAGTGCTCTGCTCCAGCCTAGAGGGCAGGGAGGTGCCGATCGCGCCAAGTGAGGCTTCATTGGCAAGGATGTCGTGGTTGGACTCAATCCCTGCCATCGCCGAATCCTGGAGAGACAGCTGAATGGCCAGTAAAATGTTGGGGTCGTCATCGTCCAAGGAGCCAAGACCCTGCAAGAAAGACCAGGATACACAGCCTCAGTGACCCAGCACCTGTCACCTGGCTGCACAGCCCCAGCAGTTATCACACATGCAGCAACGCCCAAAAAGCAGGCTCCCGCTGTAAATGTAGACAACAAACATGCCTGCAGTTTGAAAACCACTTACGGTCTGCTTTTGTGTGTGAGTGCATTAATTAGGTTTCTTTCACTTTGTTTCAAGGAGAGAAAATTTGAAGCAGATTTGGGTTTTTTTTGCAAATGTAAGCCAAATCAGAGTGAGTATTTATAGGAATGGCATAATTTTATCTTAAAACTATCAAGGGTTAGTTTGATGACAGAACGTGTCGCCCAGTACAAAAGTGGGTAAACTGAACTTGGAGCTTTTAACTTTTATTAGCTGAAAAGGTTACTGTGTACTCACCATCAGCGGACCTCGTCTGTGTCCACTGCCAATATCCTGCGGGTCTGGGGTGGGAAAAATAGTGAAAGCAAATACATGATACGAGAAGTATACAAAGTTACAGGAAGGTTAGGTTTTTTTGATCCAGTCAAAAAGCATCCAATTAGTCATAAATTCTTTCTGCAGTGACTCACCAACTTCCGTCAGCTCAGCTACCAGATAAACTATTTGACTTGTGAAAACTGAACTCAAATTAATAGAAGATTTGTGGCTAATCCTTAAAATGTTGAGTAAAAATAAAGTGCCTGCAAAACACTTTCAGGTGGGATTAAATGTCTATCAACAATTTACAGTAAAGGTTTAACTGGCCTTAATTTCCTTTTACTTTAGCGCAAGAACAAATGATAACACAAGCCAAAACCATGTTGGAGCAGAGCTGAATCTCTGCTCACACTTGGGAAGAAACACGCGTTATCCCAGCGTGATCTGACAGAGACTTTCTTCGACCTTCTACGCTCTGCTTTCACGGTCTTCAATCGCCTTTATAAAAATTCAAAGAGGTTGAGGTCAGCTTGAGTTCAGAGCTGTCGGGAGATTTTGGCCTTCAAACTGTTGGTGTACAGCTTAGATTTGCGATCGTTTGGGCTCATTATCCTGCTGCAGCCTGAATCCTTCTCCATAAAGATGCTGGTCGCGGTGGAAGTAGTCGATTCAGTACAAACTTCGGGATAGTAAGAGAACCCCATCGATAAATATTCCTTCAGGTTTGTAACAGTGTGCTTTCATTTTCTCTGGTGATCTCCTTCAAGACATCCTGTTGTTACTGGATTTACAGCCACTCGGTTGTTCCATCCACTGTGAAATTCTTGGTTGTCTTAACTCACCAAGAATTATGCCTTGTTTCTCCCGAGAGGTTGCTTTGAGCTTTTCATCCTGTCAGCTCCCTCTGGACAGTCTTCTTTTTAAAGGACCTTTGCTGATTGAAGTCATGGTCTTTATTCAGTCAATTATGGATCAGTGATGGAGTTACTTTCTTTCTGCTGGTGAGTAGAGCTCGATGTGCTGATTCTGTGGTGGTGTGGCCCCTTTTAGTGTGCCTCCCTTTCGACCCCTACTGATACGGTCTCTACAAAGCCTTTCAGAGTCTGAAACTGGGAGTAAGCACTTCTCTGTCAGAAAAAGCTTTTAACATGGTCACTTTAGAGCTTGTGTGCAGCTTGACTGAACATGCAATATAGAAAAACCTTGTTTCTACATCCTGTTTCCCGGTTTATAACAAAAGATTAAATAAAATTCCCCAAAATTTTGTGCCCAGACGCTGGTCTGCAGGTGCGATGAACTACTTCAGTACCTAAAGTGCTGTCGCTGAGGTCTTCTGGGTCAGGAGTGTTGCTGCGGACACTAGACATGTCACCCCTCCTCCGCTGCCGATGTCTCCGTCTGTACTGAAACTCCGCGTACTCCTTAAAACAAGCAGAAGATACCATTAAACTAAAAGAAGAAAGAAATAAGGTCTAAATTTTCTCTTGCTGAATATTTATAGTATGTTATTTGAGTTCTTAGATCCCATTTTTTGTAAATCAATCTAAAGCTCTCTGAGCAGATAAGAGTTTTCTTCGAACTGTTTATCAGGAATTTTGATTAGTGCAGGGAAGAACGTTAACTCAAATAAGGTCAGACTAATGTTTCAGGACAGCTTAGCCCCAGAGACGAAAACATACCCTTTCATCTCCACAACAAGCCCTCAGTCACTGGACTCAAGTCTAAACTGACTTCATGCAGAAAACAAGCCAAACAGAAAGTAGCAGGAGGAGTGGGATACATGTTAAGAAATACTTGTGCATACTAAATTACTCTAAAAAGCAGCGGTAAGCCTCAACGAATGCTGGAGTGATGCGAAAGTAATGAAGTATGAGTGGGCAAGATACCTACTACTGAAAAAGCATGGATAAAATAGTACATTTTTGCCTCAAGCACTACAGCTACTATAAGTATTTCTCTCTCACACCAACTAAAAATAAAGTTTCTGTGAAATGTGCCACCCTAATTGAATAGCAGACAGCTGCTCTTTCCCCTAAAGTGTCTCATATTCCGTCCAGGTTCAGTTTTTACTGGTCAAAATATATATATATAAAGTAGCCTGCATTGATTAGCCTAAAAGTCATCTCTCGATACAGTATGTTCTTTATATTAAGGATATGGGCAACATGATGTCAATCTGTTTCTCCACCGCCTGTTATACCTCAGGAATGTCATCGTTAAGGTAAAGCTCCGTGCAGGCAAACAGATTTTGAATTGTGGGGATATCTACAGATCCACGACATTGCTGAGTGAATGCAATTATCTGAGTTTGATGGCTCATCTGAAAAGTCTGGGCTGTAATGAAGAGAATTAGCAGGAAGTGTGACAGATGCTGGAAAAACACTCAAGATGTAAAGATTAGAAAGATAACAGCCAAGACACTCACACCACACGAAGGGTCAGAGTGAATGGTGAGCTGGAGGGTGGCTACTCGGTTGTGCTGTTTGAAATGTTGCAACTCTTTTTAAAAGATTGGAAGTGAAAAGAGTCAGTCAGCATAGGCTGATGCTGGTTTGGTGTTTCCCTGCTCACTTTGCTGAGGTGGAATACTGTATAGAGATGTGAATGAAAAATTCAGTGCAAATGCCATATCCCACTGATTACTGCAAAAGTGTTTTTACATGAAAGGGTTACATGTAGGGTGTTTTCATATCAGGTTATGAAGACCTTAAGCCATGATCAAGTGCATTTTTCATTCAATCTTCCCTTTCATTAGCACATTCATATATAATCAAAAGCCTGTCATCCAAACCCTGTCTTTCATGTTTCCAGCACACTAAAAATAACCCACTGTGAAGTGATCTGCAGACGCGATAAGAAGCATGGAGCAGACCATCTGTATCTGTGCCTGTGAGGCAGCCACATCCAGCTTTGATTAGTATTACGGAGTTCCATATAACTGCTGCAGCTAAGAGGCAGCAGCTTTTAATCAGAGGAAGAAAATTATGAAAGCATCTGATGGTAATATTTACTGTGCTTTACTTATGATGCAAGCTCAAAATAACACGTAGAACACAAAGAACACTGCGGGCGTGTTTGTCATTTAAATCTATAGAACAAACGGTGGAGGTGAGATGACCGCCTCATTTGAATTTACATTTTTAATTCATTCTTTTGAAGAAGCCACCTCTTTGTAGGGTGCGTCATGCCTAATTAAATCTTTTCTAGTACCTTGTGTTATATGAAAGCACTCAACTGGGCTTATATAGAGCATTTTTCTTGAGCATGACAAATGCTGTAGCGCAGGATAGAAATCAGGTATGACAGAAAGGATGCAGTTGTCAGTAAAGGACACCATTGATTCGGTGTAATTGTCTCACTTCATTTCCTATGTAAAAACAGAACAAATGCATTATTAACATCTGACCAAGCATCGTTTACATTGTTCTATACCAGTTTGACAGCTATTTCTCAAACTTAGCATTTAACATATTAAACCTATTTTAAACATTTTGCTGTCTCTGTAACCCTAGGTGTATCATCTGCCAGTTGCTTATGACTAATTAATAAACCAGACTAACACAGAGAATTAAAGCTCAAACACAGTTTGTTATCTCTGTGAAATATGTTATCTGCCATATTTAACAGTGGGAACTGGTAGACAGATGGTTAACAAACAAACACAGCTATGTTTGCACCTTATCACACCGTGTCATTTGCTCAGTCTCAGTCTGTGTGGTCTGAGGACATGTCTAATTAGAACTTTGTTTACCTTGTTTGCTATTGAACACAGGAAGAGGAAGATGAACTAGTCGACTACTTGCTCAGTGTGTGAAACAACGTTTTTTTTCATGTTACTGATCAGCCAAACCAAATGATGAAAGATTGCATGGTGATCCAAAGCAAATGATTTGAAGGTCTTTTATAGGGTGCGGATGGTGTGTTACACCATGGAAAGATGAGACAGATGTTCCAGAATCTAATCGTCGGTTTGCTAGATGAAGCCCTTTAGTCATGCATCATGTGAGGAGGACAGCTGTCTGTACACCGTCATACAGGCTCAGAGCAATGGAGATATTGTTGTTTCATCTAACAACTCAGATTAGAATTAGAAAGATACTACCTATGTAGAGATGTTAAATTGAAAATATGTTTTCGTATTTTCTTCATGACGTTTGATTTCAGGTTTTGGCTGCCAAATCCCTGGCCTGTGCTTTGATATTTAATAATAACAAATAAGAAAAAATAATGGCACATACTGTATTCAGGACCATGTTAACAGACAGAACAGGAAACAGGCAGTGTGCCACTTTAGGGTTGCTTATTTTTCACATTGGCTGTTAAGTGCCATGTGAAAATGTTTAATTGGCATTCAGTCCTGCATCAAATCCCTCTGCAATAAGACCGAGCTGAAATGGGCTCCAGCTTGACAGAGCATCACCAGGAAAAATACAACCAGGTGTGCATCTTAATATTCACTGAAGATGGAGTCCTGTAGAAGGCAGCAATATTCTGGGCTGGTGAGTTTTAACCATCAGATTGCAAATAAGCATGCAAACAAATGCAGTAAGAAGCGCTTCAATTAGCTTCCTGACAATCCTAGCAATTCATAATAATCAATTCTCCTGGTCAGTTTGGGCAACAGGAGAATGTCTCCACAGTCATACAGTAGCTTGCAGAATACAAATGGATTCAAAACTTGCTTATCAAGAAGGCCGATGGGAGATATTCTAGTGTTTAGTTTTTCTGTGAATCTTAAAATATTCATAGTCAAAAAAGTAATAAGTTATTAGTGATGGCTGTTGTTGACATAAGGGAGATCCTGCTGTCATGCGCCATACGTCACTGACCTGCTTACTGGGATGCTTAATGGAACTCTGCCATCATTAATTCAGCCAGTGTTTTCATTACTTAGACAAGTCGGAATGTCTGCCGTGAAAAAAGCCTCCTGAGAATGCCATCTTTCTACTGTTAAAATATGTGCACAATAACCAGAGAGGCTCCTGTTTGATGTAAGATTTAAATGTTTATCTCATGCGTTTGACATCACAGATTGCATTTGGATGAAGCCATGGCAGTGATGAAGCTTTTAAGTAAAAGTGAATTGGGTTTTCTGTATGTTTATGAGCTGCCACAGTCTAGAAGTGACACAATAATCTACACATGCAGTTACAATTGCTGTGCACGGATTTATGCTCAACTGCAAGGTAGATTCATCAAGCTGTGAATGAAAAGGAAGTCATGTTGACAATTGAACATTAATTGATCGATATTTTAGTGACTAAACGGTAACTGTGGGTATCTTTTCTGCAACGATGCATAACCATGTATGTTGTATTGCCTGAGTAGTGTGTTTTGTGTCATTCAGGTGTTCACCCTCTTTGTGATGTTTGAGTGATATCTGGATCATTATGGTTAGCCTAATGCAAAACATAACTTAACAAGATAAAGATTCTCATAAACCTTATCAAATGATAAAGATCTAAATAAACTAATAATTTACGTTCATTTGAGTATAGTTTTAGAAATCAATTAGGGATGGTTATAGGTGGTATCAGCAAAGTGGGAATGGCTGTACTGCATCATATCAAGTACCCCTTGTTCAAAGATAAATGCTACTATAGATCGAATAGGTTCCTGACTCAAGCACACCGAGTAACCACTCTCAGTTTGATGCATGGAAGTGATTTCTGATGAAAGCTGCATGAGCAATTCCATCCTCTGCCAGGTCGGGTCGATTTTAAAATAAATGAATTCATAAAAACTCACAATCGTAAAATCATTACCTCTAACCTACACATGCAAATTTGAGTTTTCAGGATCTCTCCGTTTTTCTGTCATGTATAATCATGTATTCATTTTTTCTTTCCTCGCCTATATTTGCATGAGCAAATCTGTGAGTCAATAGCTAAGGCTTTACACCACTCTAAAAAACTTGCAAAGAGCTTATGTCAGCTCATCCTAGCTCTTTGTGTACGGTCATCAATTACAGGTACAGAACGCCCAAGAAGAACATGCTGTCCAGCTCACAAGCTCTGGATGACACCTCATAGGGCAACCCATTGCAGACTGACTGTACGGAGCTGTATGTTATTTAACTGTAAAATATGCAAAGTTACACAAGTGCAGTCCCAGAGTACAATGTCAAAAAGTACCAGCCACATTTTGTCACTGTTTAGTTTAACTAAATAGTAACAAATCACAAGTTATTTTGTGTCACTTAAAAGATACGTTTGTTATCATGCACTCCTAATCTCATTGGTTGACACAGCACATTTTAAGCATTATATAAGATGTTACCTCAGGAGATGCAAAGCCTAAATATTCCCAGTCCCACGTTCCACCAGCAAAACTATATAAAAAAGGATGAGACAGAACTGTTGAGTTGACAATGTTATGTGACTTTCTCTATTTTGCTTCATTTCATAGAATTTTTCATTAAACAGTAGCGGCGCATGTTCATAGAGCTTTTTCTCTGTACTTCACCTGCGTCGGGGGGCATCGGGGGAGTCATTCGGGGCCACTCCTCTTGCTACAGAGGCCAGGAACTCCTGTCTCTTCTGCTGGACGAGGCACGCTGCCCGGATGATTTTGTGACGAGGTGTTCGCAGGTAGGGCCTGTTAACCTTTTGGGCCAAGTCCTCAGTGACCATCTCCAAGTCAGTCTGGGGGCATATAAACGGAGGCTGAAGTGACTGAAAGGTTTTCTTCAAAACAACAAAGGCAAGTTCTCTTCCAGACAGAATGAAAATGACATTAATATAAGACTAGTGTTTCATTTAGACAGGTGTACCTACAAAAAGCTGTGCAGATGGATAGTGTGAATTAAGATGGCAGCCACTGCAGGTCTGCTGTGCTCTTTAGAGCAGCATCGGACTACAAAAACCATGGATTTACCTTCTTGTTTGAGTCTGTAGGACACAAAGGCAGCCACTCATAGATGTCTCATAATATATGCTGCAGTTATCAGCATTTGTTCGGCTTTTAGCTTTCATCATAGGGTTATAAAGCATATTTATCTAATTTGTGCCTGGCAGTGGCTGCTACAGAGTTGGCTATGAGACTTACTTATTGTATTGATAGAAAAACTCTTCCTTTTTGCTTGTTGTGTGCTGTCGCCCCCAAGGTTTGTTTTACCAGTACTGAAAAATGTAGTTCATATCTGACATGCTCACGGACTGAGAAGAACCCCTTAAATTGGAGTGTCATTACATTAGTTCAATTAATTTTCATGTTCATTGAATATAAATGAACGACATTTCAGTCAGCTGTTACGTGAATCAGTTTCAAACTAAGAATACTTTTTCACAGATTTAAAATACTGTGAACCTCATGGATGCCTCCCCACTCCTTTTAAGTATGCAAGAAACTCATTTATGATTAGGAGAACTATAAGGAGAAGATACGATATATTCTGGATCTATGCTTTCAATCATGAATTATAAATCACATGAAACTAAAAGCTGAAATGTACATGTAATACTGGGGAAGATGGTGAAAATCACAAGCTTGAGCCTTTCCATCTGTAATTGCCCACATAAAGGCTTCCTGCGGTGAACATTCGGCTTTTTTCTTAGTAAGTAGCCTTGAAACCTGCATAAGTTCGTAGATCTCCTTCTTTGTGCTTTTGGGCTCCAGAAAGAACCCATAAGGATAAGAGCACTTGAGGATGCGGCGAGTCTTAAGCAGTTCTAAGACGGCATCTTCTATGAATGTCGTGTCAGGTGGGCATCCTTCCCCTGGGAAAGACAAAAGAAGACAATATAATAGTAACCCCTTAATCTATTCCAAATGACTTCACTTTTGATTCTGAAAAGAAATTTTCAAAAAAGACAAGCACATTATATCTTGCACAATGAAACAGATGGCTAATTTCAGTCAAAGTAGGTAAAAGTAAGCTAAAAAATAAATACTACTTAGCTTGCTAAATACTATGGAAAACAACAACAATTAAGTTTGGGATTTCTTCCAGGTGCTAGCCCCCTAAACTCAGTGTCAACGGACAAGATTAAGTTGTTGCTAAGTTTTAATAAAGATTGATACTGCTATGGAAGACTGCACACTCACTTCCACTCAGGGCTCGACTGAGTTGCTCCATCTTCTCTTTGGCTGTTTTTAATAGGCGCTGCTCAAGCTATTGTGAGAAAGACAGAACGCTCAGTGATTAAGTAAAAGCCATCTTGGGAATTTAGCAACTGTTTCCTGGACAAGAATCTTAATTAATATGAGGTTAATTGGAACAATCGGAGCAGCAAACTTTAATACTGTAGGCGAGACATACCATATTTTCAACAGGGTAAATATGAACTGATCTGAGGGCTGCCCCTGCTGAGATAAGTTTCCTCTGCCCAACTTGCATGGCTGCCTGCGAAGTATGTGAAACAGATATCTCTGCATGGCACAGCCAGCCAGCCAGACCCATTTACCTGATAGCTGTGCTCGTGGTTCTTGAAGCGGGTGTAGTAGTGCATAAAACGGTCAACTTCCTGAAAACTCTTGTGCGTCTTCTCTGCCTGCAGAGATAAAATCACAGTTAAGCTCCTGCATGTTTTTTCCACTCACCGAGCGAGCAAATCCTCCACTTGTGAGCACTCCACGTTAGTTAGTGCCATCCGCACTTGTGGTGGGGATGAATGCAAGAGAAAAATGAAAATGATCCTCTTTTTGTCTGTGACCGTACAAATTACAATAATTTGTATGTGTTTTGTTTTTTTCCACCTAAAGCTTGTATTGCTGGTATTTCCAAAAGGTTTTTTTCTTTGGTGTACAAGGACAGGTGCTCCTCTGGCTGCATGTGTTGTTTCATTACATCTATAAATTATGCTTATAAATGACATTGTGAGTGCATAATGACTGAATAGAATGAAACAAAATTCAGGGACTGAGGAGTCAGCTCCCCCTGCCAACCAGTATTTATAGAAAAAGTCATTTAAAAAAAAAAAAATGAAAATGGCCATATCTTTAGCTGAAAAGAATCTATGCCCTTATCCAGTAGAATATTACAGAATATTTATGAAAAGGTACAGTTCCTGGTGTAGATCTGTAAGACCCAGAACCAAAGCTTATGAACAGCTGTACATAATGATGTTTGTTTGGTCCCTATTGTCTCACATCGCTGCAAATTGACAACTGGGCTAAAAATCACATAGGAAGCAATAAGATAAAATGGTTTCCCATTTGAGCGTAACAATGTGTACCTCTTCTGTCATCTCCTTCGACTGTTCTTCCACCTGTTGAATGACTTCATAACGGGTGCAGCGATAATAGCCTCCTGTTGACGAGCTGTGCTTTTTCCACTCCTCCAGACAGATCCAGCAGAAGTCATACTTACACTACAGGGGGAGAAAACATTTGTCTTTCTTCAAGTCTGCTCTAGTGAGCTACCAGCAATACTGAAATGATTAACGCTGAAGCCTAACTGATTTTATGTAGAAAGTCATACAGGAATTTCAATTGAGTGACAAATAACTTCCCTAACTTTGTTGAATCCCAAAATCCACAAAATAATCCACTTGGAACTGAAAACTTGCTTATCTATCCTTTTAAACAAATTATACTTTTTGAAAGCTTTCTCTCATGGTCTCTGATAAAGCTGCTTCCATTTGGGCACTGCGGTCCTGAAATGTTCCGCCAGTGTGAATTCAAACGTCTGCAACACTCGCTCTGGAATGTCTTGTGGAGATTTTTCCCCCAGTCCTGAGAATAAAATCATCAGCAGGTGAGATAATGTTCAAACACCTCAGGAAAAAATTCTGGAGGATTTGCCTCTTCTGTGCCAGTGAGTTCCCAGGAGACCACGCTGTATTTCTGGCCTGAAGAAATTACACTGTGACATATTTGTGAGACCAGCAACTGTGGAAAAAGTTGGGACCAGGTAGTCCACTCCTTTTCCCCAAAAATATTGCATAAAAACAGCTTAGGTTTAATATAAAAGTAGCTGTTTGGATCTTACAGTGTACTCTGTAAGCATTAAAAGGCCCTCCCCCTGTTATGACTGCTGCAGAGCAAAAATCTGAAGCAGATTTAGGTCCAAGTGATTTGCTCCCAAAGCTACACATAATTTTATCTATGATGTTAGCCTGAGCAACATGGCTGTCGCCTCATTTGTCCTGGAAACACTATGCTTACATGGTATTTGAGAAAAGCCAATTGCAAGAATTGTGTGGGTTGAGTTTGGGGTATATAAAAGACATTAAAAAAAACTGCAAAGTAGAAAGACAAGAGAGAGAAATCTCTAAGGCCTAACCACAGCAGAAAATGGCAGTAAAAAGACAATGGTTTCTCGGCAACGATAAATCCCATGTTTCCAAACAACAGGGATAAAGTCGTTTCTTTCCAGGTAATAACAGGTCAAGAGGCTCAGCCCTTCATGGCCTCGCAGCTTGTGAAAGCTGTTCCATTCCTCCAACACTAATCTCAGCCTCTTTAACCAGTGGAGACAGCAACAGATCTGTCACTGACAAAGATTCTGGCTGCGTGACTGCACTGTCATCCTCAGTCCAACCTTGCAGATGCTCCTTGGCTCACTTCAGCTTCTACGTCTTCTTGTTTTACGTGATTACTTATTTTCAGAAATCTGCCATGCAAACCTGCTACTAGTTGGCTGCGGAGCATTGATGTGGAGAGCAGTTGGATGTCTGTCAATGAGTTGTCAATTAAGGAACAATCAAGCATCTGTCCCTCAGACTACACAAGAGAATCTTATTCTCTCCAGCAACAGTTTGGCTGGAACTCCTACTGCAGGGCTGGGAAGGAGGCATCCCAAAGATGTGATGCAGACTGAACTGAACTCATGCAGTTTTTAGTACCTGCTTTTAATCTTTAGTCTTCCAGTCTCAGTACTGTAAAATACATGATGTACCCACAAAAGTGTTTGGTAGAAAGCAAAGTAGAGATCAGCAGAGGAGTAGGAAGAGCCATTTCCTCTGACCAGCACGCATGCTCACTCCATACGGCTATATTTACACATTTCTAAGTTTTACAGATATTACTAAAGAGCACTATGAAAAATCTACACAAGAGGACTAAAGCCAGTGCCGCATTCTCACACAGAGCCCTTGTGGGAGAAAAGTCTGAAAACGCTGTGCACCACAAATATTTTATGTCTTAAGTCATTTTCATGTGTATTCTTCATACTTTTGGAGAATACTGCAGTACCAATCAAGAGTGTGGCCACATCTACTCATTTGACTGGTGCTTTTAAAGTCACTATCACAGCTTACTGACAGTACAAAAAATAATAACCCATCAACATGACCTGACTACTTTTTTTAGAGTAACTCATAACATGGATCGTGAGAAATAGATACTTGAAACTCAACATGTTGACTTGAGCTAGATGTAAAGCAGACAGCCTGGGGGGGCTGCTGTCCCACAGGTTTTAGACTGCTTCAGCAGTAATGAGGGCAGGGGAGGTTACGCTCCCACCCCCACTTTAGGTCGCAAGATTCAGGTAGTGAAAGAAAAAATGACATCGTGGTTACAAGGGTATGAGATGAGTCACCCTCAAAGGGAGGCTGGACTTGGTGACAGAGTGAAAAGGGCACACATTCAGCAGAGCTTATTGTGGAGCCACTGCTCCTCTACAGTACATTGAAATGACATAATTCAAGCATCTGACTGAGAAGCCTCTTAGCTGGTTTTCCTGGGTGGGACCTGAGGACAGCCACATGCTGGAGGGATTATTTTGTTTTTCTGGCTGGGGAACATGTTGGGACTCCCAATGGGAAGCGGGAGGGGTGTTTGTGTTTCCATCCTGGATGGGCTGAAGGTTACACTAAAACCCAAATTCTTTTGACTATTTTAGCACTAATCATGTCAGGCATGGGCTGGATGAGCCAACAAGGGGTGATCAATGTGGCACTTTGTAGGACAAGCCTAAAACATTTTTTTTTATAGTCTTTCTTTCATAGGCCATTTCCTGCTTTGTATGGTGCTTTGAGGTATGTAGATGTGAGATTTGAGAAAAAAGGAGATGTTTCTGTTTGTGTAAACTGGTGTTTTTTTCCTATTCCTCAGTTAAGAGTATGAATCAACCTGTTCTTATCATTCTCTCCAAAGCAGGCTACATGTTAAAACACCCACTGTGCTGTTGAGCGGAGCATATTGGTGGGACAGGTGCATGGAAGCTCCCCGCCTCACTCACCTTTGCACACTGCATGTGATTGCAGCCCTCATTTTTCTGTATTGGAGACTTGCAGTTGGCGCAGGGTTTAGAGTTGGTGAGCATCCACAAACAGTTGGCTGCATCCTCGTAGGCTTCGCTCACACCAGCCACTTCAAAAGGAATAAGGGTTAGGGAAACAACAAATAAAGGCATAATGAGTTAGAATAAAAATGACTACTACCACAGCATCAATACAGACCTCTGCACTAAGTGGAAAATTGCCATGCCTACCCAATGTGTATTCCTTATATTTTTTGCCAACAACTCCCAAGATGTGCATGAACCCAGTTCCGCACACATAAATGCGAACTCAAAAGAAATAATTGGCTATTATCAAAGCACGTCTGTAGGTCGTTTCAAATGCCAAAATAAAATAGAATCTTGGGAAATTGAAGGAGGAGATGTTCCCAAAACAAAATAATTGCTTTTATCTTTCAACTGTCACATCAACAAGGTGGCACTTAGGAGCAATTTGGTTTATTTTAAATCATCTATTGCATTAGTTACAGACCAATTACAGCTTCTAAACATGGTGTACTTTCAGTGAGTGGGTTGTTCATTTTAATGAATAATTTATACTCAAAATGGCAGATTTTAATTGGTCCAGCACAAAACAGTTTGTTACTACTCCGGTTAAATTTCAAGCTTTTAATCAATCACTTGTATGAAACCTAAAAAAAATTAGTTGTTTTAATTGGGCAATTCATTCAATTTGTTATTAATCTAAATCTTTTTGTAACAGCAATTAATCTTTGGGTAATTCAATACAGCTAAACCTATCAGGACAAAACATCAGAACAGTTATTAAAAGCAGATAATTGACTGATCTGTTATTGTGGCACTTTTGTAACACATAAAAACTAAAATAGTTAAATCAATCTAAATCCTCACATTCCTCAGGTTTCATCTCTGTGACCTTCTGGAGCCACATCTTCCAGGTCTCACAGTCGCAGGGCTCATGGGCCTCACCTCGACACTCCCTTAAATACACAGAGATATGAAGCCTTTCTGTATATTTAATAAGCCAAATAAAATAAATAGTGAGCACAGAACAACAGAAGTCTCCAAACAATTACTGCGCAGCCTTTAACCACTGTCTTTGGGAAAAACCTGCCCATCTCATGTCATAGAAGTTATTAAAGATTAACCCCTGTCCTGAATGAACCCACTAGTAAATTTAAGAACTATATAACAAAGTGAGGAGATATCATTATTAAGGAGGATTAACTGTAGAGGGATGGAGGTTATAAAACAGGGCAAGGAAGGGATCTGCAGAGGGAATGTTTGGAGTCATCTACTTAGAGAATAGAAGGTGAAACCGTGCTCTTCTGCTATTGTCCATAAATCTTTAAAAATTATGGGGAAACAGACAATAAATGTATGCTGGATTTGTCTTAAAGTAAGACCAGATATTTTTTCTTCTTTTACTCTTTGCCTCTCCCTGTAGTTATGGTGTAGAACACCACATGAACACAAATCTCTGTGTCAGTCCTGTAAATGTAAAGCCATACACATTAATTTTTCTGTCAAGTTGAAAAGGCCACAGAGATACCATAAAAAGTTCAGAAAATGTTCAAGCAGCTGTAAAGCAAAGCGGTGTGATACAGAGCTGGATATCAAAGTTGTAAACTGATGTATATCAGCTCCTGTGTGCTCTAGGGCAGTTTCAGGCTGAATGTTAAAAAAAAATGAGGCAGAAGCACATGGTTTTACCTCGCTCCTAACAGTACTTCATTTTGTTCTAAATACAAACCAGCAGAATAGGTGGCCTTTGCCACAATCTACAGCTGGTGCCCGAAGCAGTGGGAAGCTTAAAGGGTCTGAAGTGGAGGACCCGGGGCCATGGGTGCTCAGTCTGACTGCTCTTTCACATCCAGCCTCAGGACACCATCGGATTGCTGGGTTGTTTTCCACAAATGCCTGTCAAGAGAAGAGGCAAAGGTAATTCTCTAATATGTTTCCTGCTGGCAGGAGTTATAGTTATTCGACAAATATAGAAAGTTATTTGTGAATTTTGCTCATGAGGTTATTTTTCTCTTTGCTCAAGTGTATAATTATATGAAAAGTACTGCTACAACTATGCTCTCATGCACTGTGCTGCATGAGTGACTATCAACCAGTCAACTGTAACAATGCTGCCCTGTTTAGTAAGCAATTCTCTCTACTCTGACCCAAAAGACAGTTATTGTTGTTATTTTTTTTCAAGTCAACTCATGAAAGAGGCGGCTAAACTATTTTCAAGATGTACATCTTATACCTTCAGTTTAGGGACCATAGTTATTGTAATTTCCTCAAAATTGTAACATTATCTGGATTAGTTATTTTGCATGCTACTCAAGTCCAAAAGGTACCTTTATGTCAAACTGCATGTAACGCCTGTCCATCTCTCTGGACACCACACTTTCTATGACTTCCACCGGCACGAGCTGGTAACAGTCGAAGGCCGGGCAGAAAATGTTGTGAGCTTCCCCCTCCTGGATCTTTAGATTTAGAAACCTACATAGATATAAATATTTAGGGCAAGAGCGAGGAGAAGCCAAAAAATAAATAATTAGACCGGTTTAATATAGCTGGTAACTCCAATTACAAATTGCTTACCCTTCCCAGCAAGCTCTGCAGAACTCATGGCCACAAGACATGTCAACGGGTTCCTCAAAGACAGAGATGGAAGACATGCAGATGCCACACTGTAAGATAAAGAGATGACAGAATATCAGTCAACAAGGCCATTATCAGATTACTCAAACCTGTTTTAACACAGATAACCCATTGAAAATCTGTTTTCTTCTATATTTCACATCCTCAAAAAGCATGCTGACTTGGACCTCCATTAAAAGCGTTGTGATGGGTGCCTGTTCAAATGGATGAGAAGTCCAGTAGATATGGAAGTGGTTGTGACTAACCATAACAGTAGCATTAGTTCTAGAAACAATGTGGAGGTTATGACCGCTGGCTCTGTGACTCACTGATGGCTTCACAGTTAGCAGATGTAGTTTCTCACACCCACAGACACAGACACCACCAACAAACTTGCACAAACACAGCCTTGTTAACGTAAAAGACTGACCCACAGAGAGAACAAAGAGGAGGCAGTGCATTTCAACAATCAAAGAATTGATCTGTGAACGAGCAGAATGTGATGTAATCAACTGTAAGCTATAAAAGAGCTCTTGAGTGCACTCTGTTGATTGGCACCGCTTCAAGTCCCAAACCAAAGCTAATGTCAGATTAATGTAATTTCATTAGCAAAAAGATCATTGATAAATCAACTCTGCCTGCGTCAGCAATCATCCATAAAGAGTTTACTTCACAAACCATTTACAGAAATTAGGATGTCCCCAGTTGAGTAAAAGATTACTTTTAATATCTGTCCAGTTTAATCATTTTAGTAGCAGTTTCTGCGTGAGATTTGGCCTCACCAACCCATTTCTTTAGCAGACAGCAAAGGTTACACTTGTGTGTAATCTTGCAGACAAGATTAGCCCGTTCAATACCATAGAATGCCTTACTAGTTAATCAAATGCTGCGTTTTTAACCAGAACCAATGCAGGTTTAAAGATAAATAAAAGCTGCACAGAGGTCAATAACTCCTTTACCTACTGAGGCTAAACATGGAAATAGTTGAATGGCAACTATGTAAAGAACATATGCTAAAAACAACACATGCTATTTTCATGGCTCTATTAAGAGGAAGCATCCTCCAGATTGGTGTCGTCCTTCATGAACCCTCAGGCTTACAGTTCCCTGTCTTCCTGACATTAGAAATGTATGTAATACACTTCTCTTTTTTAAATCACACCTCTTTCACTTTCTCTCATTTACTTCTCTTCCTTAGCTCTTTTTCTTCCTTTTCTCCCATCAAAGTTGCAGCTAAGCCGGTGCCGTTCCACATCACTGTAATGTCTAACAAATGTTAGACAGCTACAGAAAGCACACTTTCTAAGCTCTCTGTTAGACTTTTACTCCAGACGTTAAAAACAGCATGCCGGAGCCATTGCCTTATGTTAACCACTATGTCATAAAATAATCATCCATCTAAGAACAATTGAAAATATAAATCAACTTAAAAAAGAGCTGTTAGCTATAGTCCTAGACCAGATAACAGTGGCATGACAAAATTCAGTTTCCTCCAATTCTTTTCTTGTTATCTGAAGCCTCTAGGACAGGTTATTTCTTCTGCCAGAGTTCTGTGGAACGTATCTCATCTGATCAGCTTGTAGTTTGCTCAGACAGACACACAAAAACTCTTAAAAAAATAAAGAAATTAGAGCCCACCCTAAATACTCGGACAGTAATGGCAGGTTATGCACGTGGTGAACTAAAACTTCTGATCAAAATGAACAACTGAGATTGGGAAAATTAGGACATTTCTGACCAGAGAAGACTCTTCATCTGTCGGCATGAGGCTGATCTGGTCCGGGGAGGTTGTGGAGGAGCGAGTCGTGCGAGGCGAAGGCAAGGTGTCCCATGCATTGTAGCCACTAGGAGGGGGGTTGGGCATCCGTACCCCTGAACGTTGGCAGCACTCCTCTGCATTCATCATCCAGGCCTCTAAAAGCTTCACCCTGTCCCAATCTGATGAAAAAACATAAAGGTATTAATTAAGCGCTTTTAGCATGAACGATTACCCAAGGCCTCCAACAAAAACATCTCCTATCTAGAATCACATAGAGAAGATCACAGGTAATATATGCAGCAGTTCTTCCAGTTAAAATAAAGCCAGAACTCATATCATTACTAAAAATGCCGTACAAGAACATGTCTTTCAGCCTGTAAGTAAAATGCTGTAGTTCCCATTCCACCATTCCGGCTCCACTCTGCCTTTCAAACAGCCAACAACAAAGACCTGCTGCCACCTGCTTTTCTGTTTTAGAATAGCTGCTCAACCCCACATGAGCACAGGAACAGGTCTGGGAGCTTTTTAGTATAAATACTGAAAGATTTGTGAACTTTCTCAGTCCAAATATTCTCCCCTCTTAAAATTGAACATGACCGGGTCAATTGTGCAATTAGGACATTATCAGCCTCAAGACATGCTCCACCACCAATCACTGCCTCGGTCTCCAAATGACCTCGTTTAGATAATGAATGTCTGAACAATTCCCCCATTTGCATTCAATTAAAACTAATCAATGAATATGACCCTATCTTAATGCTTTGGGCCATTTCAAGGGGTGAAATAAAAAGTTTTCACATTTAGCTTTGGCATTAAAAATGAGACCGAAATTGCTAATTGTGGGGACATACGGACTCCAGCGGGCAGTCGAGCAGATAAGGAACAGTAACAGTGATAAGAAAATTGACTACTGCTGAAATGGCAGTTGACAAGTGACAATTAGGGAACGTTTTTGCATGTAATAAATTATAGGTGAGCCCAAATCGCTTTTTATCAACAAAGATCCTAAAACACTCAAGCTTTTAAAACCATTTGCATTCCCATGACAGATTGGTTGTTCTACTCAACAAATGTATAAAAAAAGGCGCAATTTAAAAGACTTCAAATCAAAGATTGTTTTAAAGATTTAAAGTTAGTTATACACCTTATCACAAAGGTAGGTTAAGTGGATTTAGGCTGCAATTTCAATCGAAACTATAACAACATTAATAGTTAGTTACTCAACAAATCTACAAACTCACTATTAGGTTTTCATTAGTAAATCTGCAGAAATGGATTCCAGAAGTTTGGTAAGGATGAGAGACAGACTGTACAAAAGCAAAGCTCTACCACTTCACAACTGACCTCTGAACTGTGAGAAAAGAATGCCACGTGAAAGCTAGACAGACAAGTCGGATACAGATTTATCTACATGTCTGATGTAAACAAACGCAGCCACTCCAGCCGCTGGACTTGACTTGCTGCCTGGGGCTGAGTGGCTGGCAGTCCAGTCATTAGCCTTTTCTTATGTGTACCTTTTTTTTTGCAGGACTGACAGAGCTGATACACCTCTGAGCCAGAGAAGGAGATAGTAACAAAACAGTCCCACCTATATATGCTTACACACATTAAGCTGGCACTGAGAACGCGCCACCCTAACCAGCGCTGCTGGCATCATTCAGCTGGCTTGATTTGTGTAAGGACACAGCAGTATAGGGCTGATACAGCTTTGTTTGGTTCCTGTGAATTATGAGGAGGAACAGTGGCAGGTTAATGAAGACATCTTTCTGATGGGATGGCATAGCCACGTGTGGAAGAGGCCCTGATTCAGCTAATTCTCTTCTGTATCAAAGACAGGTTAAAGTGATGCCACCAGCTAACTTTTGAGCATGATGTTCCTGAGCATAACTCCAGATAAACCAAGAAAGGGCTCTAAAAATTAGGCTTACAATTAAACATACCAAAAATAAACATGTTTCAGCTAGATTAATGGGGAATTACAAAAGAAACTACAATACCAGTGGGTTGTTTCTGCTATAAAGAGTAGCTGCTGAGGCCAAGGATACACTCACATCTTCCAGAGTAGAATTCCACTTTTATCACCATTTTGGTTGCATAATGAACTCAGAAAGGGGAGAAAAACATAACTGTCCTTCGTCTAACAGCGATCAAAGGCAGTTTCAATGGAATGTGCTTAAATGTACATGAACGTACATTTGATTTGTTTAAATCACTAAAATCCCAGGACAACTTTGATGCTAACCATTTCAACAGCAAACAGACCCCCTCATCAGTGTCACAGCACATGAGTGTGTTTAGCAGTACCGTGTGCGCGGAGAAGCGCTTCGGCGGTGAAAAGCGGGGCTTGAAGCATGTCAGCTGTCTCCACGATGAGCATGTCCTTCAGCCTCCGGAGGTCCTGAGGCCGCAGGCCCTCGTACAACTGGACAGGAGGGGTCAGAGATCAGAGAGGAATAAGCAAGGCTACTGACACAAGCACAATTGTGGTAGGAAATTAAGGAAGGCAAGGAGGAAATAGAGAAATAAGTAAATGGTGAAGGGGCAGTCTTTCAGAGAAAAGAACAGTGGGAGCAGACGGGGAGCGTGAAGATATCTGGGTGTGAGCAAATGAAAATTCGACTGTAAGTTGAGTAAGTGCGGTGGGTCAATTCTGGGGTTTTCCTTCAGACAGTGAGCTAATAATAGACCAGAACAGACAAGAGTCACGGGCCTGGACAGGATGTTTCAAATGTTTTTGGTTTGTTTTATTAATCTGTGCTTCTGTCCATATTTGCCAAGGCGTTGTCTTCACTCAGCAAAAGGAGAACATACAACATCTTAATTAAATTTGAAACACTAAAAGCTATTGAGGAGGACTAGTGTCTGGACTCATGCAGGAGACAAGTCTGTAAACTTTGATTTGAATATAAAATGAGTATTCTATTAATCATTCTTTAAATAAACAAACAAAAACAAAAAATACTAGTTAAACGTTTATTAGTTTTTTGTACTGCTTGTAAATAACTATTTGACATTGCCAACCGAGGAAATGACACCCACAGTGAGGGCGTGGCTAGTTCCGGGTTTTCAACTTTGCTCGCTAAGCCGTATAAAAAAATTAAAAAAAATAAAAAACTACATAGATCTTTAAATAGTATAGAGAGAGTTTTTAAAGTTTTGCTCTTGCAAAGTTATTTGTCACACCACAAAAGGTGTCAAACTTGGGGTTTTACACCCACTGCCTTAGTATGGTATTCTGTACCTCTCGTCGGTCGAGGGCTGCATACTCTGCTTCTATACCCTCCGCCTCAGGGGCCAGAGAGAAGACCATCTGCGACTCCAGGCGTAGGGCCAACTCCTTGTGGTGCTGCTTTTCTGCACAGTCACATGGAGTCTCGCGGTTTTCGTTCTCTGCAAACAGGTCCGCTTCTCTCTGCACCAGTATCTGTGCAAGTGAGAGGAAAATGAAAATGCTGCTTTAAAAAAGGGCACAAAGCTCACATGGTCAAGTGAAAGCATCATACACGTTTAAGGGGTGCATACATTTAAAAGGGGATTTGAATTGATTGTCTTTATTTATTGTTTAATACAGTGCAGTAAGTCAAACAACATTCACAAATGCACAGTGCTGTCCAAAGAGTGCCAGCATGTTTCATGTTTAAATAGTCACTGGATTTAGGTCAGAGGAAGAAAGGGAGCAGGTCATTCTCATAATTATCACTCATCTTTGCGTCATCTTTTGCTTTCCTGCGTTCAGCCTGTCTTCATTTTCAACAGCTTGAGAACAGAATCTTCTTTCTATTGGCAGCAGGTTTGGGAGTTGCTGTTTAGTCCATCTTTAACCTAACCCAGCTGGGGCTGACTCGAAGCGGTGCCTTGTGTCCATTTATGATGGAGCCACTCAGTCACACATCTGTTCTATCAAGAGCTCATCTCACTTTATTGGCCTTTTCTGGCATTTTTACCCCTAAATCCTGAGACCCAAGTTGTGAATTTCTATGGATGTTTACTTTGGCCATGTTTCTGTGCACTGAATCACATCCTTCAGGGAGCTCCTGATAAGTGGCAGGATTAGACTATACATATATATATATTTCTAAACACATAATCTCTTGTACACTTTACTTTTGCTTCATTTTCTAAAGCTCTAAGTGGGGATTCTGTGTCTCTATCACAACAGTCCTGTCTGCATTCCAGCCTCAGTAAACTTGTCTTCTAGCCCCCAGCCACAGCTGCCATGAGGCCACACGAGGGACTTTCACAATATAAGGCATGTGGTTATAATCTTGCTGCTGATGGGTGTAAAGCCATCACATGGCTTTCAGGGGAAATTAGAATGAACACAAAATAATTTCTAACAGTAACAGAATTATCTAATTATGTGTCATTAAAATGAATTATACAGTGAATCGCAATTTGATCATTTACAATTAAGTGTGCAGCCATAGTTGAATTCATCTGACAAATGTGGCTGCACACACAGTGTAACAAGTCCATCAAGGGGATTGCACAATTATGGTAGATGTTTGTTTTTCTTTCTTGAAGCTCCAATTGAGAAGCGCTTCCAATTTAGTTTAAAGACAACTGTTTGTTTTTTATTTCATACGAAGCTGAGGCCTTAGCAAAGGAGGGGGCAGTTGTCAATTCCCAGGTATTTAACTTTTCAATGTAACCTTATGTAACCTGACCCAGGGATTAATCAAGATGCACTGTGTTGCACAGCATCTTTCCAACACTCACCAGGGAGGGCTTTGATATGATTAATAGAAGCAAGTAAATTACTGCTTGTTACCGGCATCGCAACAACATCGAACACAAGGCCACACACCAGGAAAAAGCTTGTAATACACATGGTACAAAAGGGCATATTTTTAATAATTTGGTGAAACATCAGAGTGACACTGAACTCATTTATCTTCTACCTGTTCATTTTCTACACCCCATCATTATCAGCTTCAATCGGTAAAACCTCTGATCAGCACCTCAAAATGACTTCCATAGGAATAGCTACAGATCATCAGCCTCACCTCAACGCACGTCCTCATGCCCGCGGCGGCCGCATAGTGCAGGCAGGTGTTTTTCTTGTTGTCTGTGGCATTGATGTCAGCGCACTCATACTCTCCATGGTCCAACTTTGCTCCGGTCCAAGATAGGATGATCTGTAAGCATTCTGTTCGACGCTGTACGTCTTCATATGGCCGTGAGAGACGCGGCTGCAGCGCCCCCTCTGAGGTCAGGATCTGGGGGCCCATGCAGAGAAGGTGCACAGATGTCTCATTGTGCACGTTGCGCTTGTTAGGATTGCCATCTTTGCCTTGGAGAAATGACCTAAAGAATGAGAAAAAGGCAGGATTAACAATTCCACCAAAGGTAATGACTTACTGTATTCTTAAATTTGTTTTTAGACAAGAAAGAAGCTCAGATGGATTTAATCATTCTAATGGATATTGTTTTTTTTTTTCTTACCTATTATATCCCATCAACAGGCATTTATACCATGCAAAGAATAACAATGACATATTTACAGTCTTACTAATTCGACACAAATGTCTATCTAATTTGAGATAGCATTTCCAGTTAAAGAACTTAAAATGGAAATTTCAATAATGCTTTAAAGGGATTATTTTTCAATTGAGTCCAATTCCAAAAGTTTATGTGGTTAGTGAGGCTACAAAAATCACAAATATTTCTGGCCATTTTATATTTTGCATCCACTTAGCTTTGCCAGACATTTTTTACAACTATCAAATAACTTTCTACAGCCCAGACTGTCACATAATGTAAGTAAGCCATTAGCGGAGAACTGCAGAAGCCTGAGTGGAATGACGACAAGCTCATGCAGGTTGTTAGCTTGTAAGATGGGAACTCTTGGAAGCTCATTCTATTCCAACCCAGCATGCTGCATTCCTGATAACAGATGGCAGTGTGGGGGGACAGATGGGACAGATACATATAGACAAAACACCTTTTTTTCTCCTCTTACTGTGTACAAACATGATTACTCAAATGGAACTCGACACAAAGCTGTAACACAGGTGATTATCACCTAATGTTTCAACACATTTCCCCCTCAATTTAATAAAGGTAACAATTAATAAAAAATATTAACAGGATTTAACATGTAAATAATATTTGCTTATTTGTCTGTTCATTTTAGTTGGCGCCTGTTCCTGACCTGAGTAGGCGTATCATGGCGTGCCGGGCGGCGTAGTGCAGTGGAGTGTTGTGCTGGTAGGACTCTCCATAAGTCGAGTTGGGATCCAGGGCTTCCTTGAACTGTGGGTTGCTCTCATAAAGTTGGCACGCCAGCGCCTCGTCCCCACTGATCAGAGCCTTACGGAACTTGGTAGCCGTGTTCCCCATGTCTCTCTCAACCGTGGGTTCAAAGCTCCGACCGTCACAGCAGCCTTTTAAGTCCTCTTGAAGCTGTTTAAGGCGAATGAGCCAGCATGCTGCTTGTCCTGAAGAAGAGAAGAAAAGCTATAGTCAAATAATCAAGGCTTGTTTCTGTGTCTGACAAGGCCTTGCTGACTAAGAACAGGTCAACAGAATTCCATCCATGAGGTTGCGTTGGCTTCTCTGCAACAAGCGCCTCTCTCAGCCTCACCAGTGCCCTGTAAACACCTCCTTGTTTTCAATTAATTATTTATTTTTTAGATAACCGAACATAGTGAGCACATAGCTCACACAGAGAGAAAGACAAGACTTCCTCTGCCATCACCAGGAGCTTCCACCTCTCAATGCCAATGCGGCCCATCCCACTGAGGCCAGGGCTCAGGATCCAATATAAAGCAAGAAATGGCGGATAGCATGTGGCGAGTGAGCATTTCGCTTCCACCAGAGAACCATATGGCCATGACTGTTGAGGCAACTTGATGCCTTTGTGCACTGGTCAGCTGCAGCACAAAAAGAACACGGCATCATCTTAACAGGACAATATGTGCTGCTCCTCATGATACCACAACTCTGATCTTGCTCTGGTGGTGCTGTATGCCTCTTTGTAACCTGAATGACAGAAGCTATTCTAGCTCTAGATAAAGCACTGAGCTCAGTGTTCATCCAGGCCCACTGGCAAGGCATTGGTTCTACTATACGTTTGTTTAACGACAGTGCATTTCACGAGATGAATATTCATATCCCAGGCGGCTGCATCTGACTGCATCAACTGGTCCGTAGCTTCTTCTGCTCTCACTTCAGCATTTTTCCTGTTGATTTGAACCTTTTTTATCAGCTGGGAGAATACTGGCAAGCATGGCGCAGAAATATGTTCTGATAGACCAAAAATGAGGACGTGGGAGGGATCTGCGGATGCCAGGAATGTTCATAAAAACACTGTCCAGGCTATTTCTTTCCAAAGTGGGAATGACGTCACGCTGAAATGTAGGGAAGCGTTTGTAAGGTGTGACCGGATCAAAATCACTTGTAACGATCAAAATGCCATTGCCAAAAGAAAGATCTAGCAAAAAAGTTGAATATGTTGACCTTATATATATGGCATTTTGTACAGTCATTTTGTTCTGAGCGGTAGAGTCTTAAAAAAGAAATTCAATAATATGCCAAAAAAGTGTCTAAAATTCTAAAAGCAATATCAGAGTAACTTTTCTCAACTGCAGGACTTTTCTCAACACAAAAAATTATTCTGAGAATATCTACGTGCTGAGGACATAGCTAAAAATCAATATTAGATGCCTGCGACCTTCATTCAGCCAGAAGTGTTTAACAATGGGTTTCATTCTGTGTTGAGATTACTGCAGGACTTGGTAACACTTTGTTCACTCACTGTTCCATCGACAGATGCAATAGAGGCCATGCTTCTTTGAACAATAAGCAGAAACAGTTCTTGACCAAGTCTCATTATGAAATGACTGAGACAACTGTTCAGTGGTCTCATAAATCAAAACTCAAAATTCTTCATGGAAATCAGGGACCCAGGATCCTGCTGAATACAGAACTCAAATGTGTGTGTTTCAGATGGCACGGAGGTACATTAGTGCCTGCACAACTAGAAACCTGTCCATCTGTCCACAGGCTTTAGAGTGACATATTCCCCCATTCAGATATCATATTTTTTCTGGCAGAGCCTTGAATATTGCATTGAAAGAGAATACCAAACCATAGAGCATCCACAACAGCGTGGCTTTGTAGTAGAAGAGTCCAGTGGCTTGATTGTCCTATCTGTAGTCTAGTCCTTTCCCATTTGAAAACATTTGTGGCATCACAGCACATACAACAAAGACAACACAGGACAGTTGAGCAGCCTGAATCCCATATAAGTTCAGACTTATGCTCCATTCCTCATGCACGAGTCCAGCAGCCTGTGGCAGACAGATACAGGCTGCTGATGGACACAGAGTGGACGGATGCTGCAGAAAAACATGCTTGGCTTTCAGAACGTAATCATTTTACATGTCTGCTGTGATTCATTTTAAACACAACTTTGTTTTATGACATTTGCAAATCACTACATTTATTTTTGCTTTGAATTTGCCATTCAAGGTGAATAATAACTTATGTAAACAATGCATCCCATAGGACAGGTTTGCAGGTCTGTGTGTTAACTTTGTGTCATGTGAGGACCATAAATAACCACAGGATAAGACAGTCAATGCCCAACTTTGGAAAGAGCTTGCACACACCGTGTACTGAGAGCAGTTGAACAGCAAAATCTCGTAGACAAAATTTAAACTCCCAGCTGCTGTCCAAATGTATGACTGATTAACCAATCTGACAATAGTTAACAACACTCCCCCCCCCCCTCCCCCCGAAAGGACCAGCCACCCATTTCTGGGAACAGTTATCTAAACAGATCTCCCAAACAATAGAAAAGAGCAGGCACCGTTTGTCTGCAGGCCTTACCCCATGTTATGTAGTGTTTACCATTTTCGCTAGCTCATGCCGTTGGACGGCGGTGTGTTGTTATACGATAATAAACAGTCCACCGTAACGCTTTGTTATATTATTACTTGATAACGATATGTATCAGTCACTGGCCTTAGATAAAGCCAACTTCAAACTACACTGTGTCGTCAGACCACAGCTGACAAAAAAAATAACAGAACAGTATTTGCTTGCTAGCAATGTGTTCTTCAAAAACAAAAAAATATCATGACGCTAGCATCTGCGTTGTCTAACGTCAGTGCACGCGCTAGCGGCTCAGCTAGCAGGCTAATCGCACGGCTAGCCAACTTAAAGCTAGCTGGAACAGTTGAGAAACTCAATAAAGAGAGAGTAACAAGTATTGCGACTTACACAAATGGCACATCTCGCTGATGTAGGATCAGTGTCGTTGCTTGACTGTCAGTGGAAGCGCAAAAGCAGAGGTATTTGTCCTAACGTGAGGCAATCCTCCTCTATAAATACTGAGCTCGGAACAGTAATATTGCCCCTGTCAACTCTCTGTTGGCTTTACTGGCTGCTAGTTGGGTTGCCAGGTTCCTGCAGACCCGACCCCCCCCCCCCCCAAACAGGCGGAGATTTATTTATTTATCTATTATAGGGCCATTGGTGTCTTTGTCTTATTTGCTCCTCGGATCATATTTTGTTTTTTTCATATCATTTCCGTCATAAACGTCATATTACTGGCTTAGTTAGTTCGGACGTTTGAGCGATCAAACCATTGAGGCACGGTTACAGTTGTTCTGCTTATAACGTTTATTTACTGTCTAACACACGTGAGTCGTGGTCGATTACGTACGACGTATCGTTTGTGTATATTTGTGTACTTTTTTAAGTCTTGTTTGACTTGTGATTCACATAGTCTATCCTATGGGTTAGATTTAAGATTGCACTCTGTTGTACTACTCCTTACTTATTGCTCTTCATAACAAGTGAGTCGAATCCTGAGTTTCTGCTGCAATAACATAATTAGGCCACTAGAGAGCGACAAAGTCCACAGAATAAAACTACTCCCGCGTGAGGTGGCGTCGTAAAAACACCAACCCAGATTTAGCCTGGCTGTTCGTTATTCACACTGAAAATAAATATTGCTCAAGTTGTAAAAAGGTATGTAATTTTGCACCCGTTTTTAATAAAGACAGAAGTATGTTAGTTGACTCCAAGTAGCAACTGAGATACCCAATAGTAGTACACATATGCTTTTTATTATCAAATATTTGAACTTTGCCGTGAGGTTACATAGAGTAAAATATTCTCACATTTAAAGAGTGCAGGCATTTCATAGGAACTGGCCTTCAATAAATAATCTGTAAACACATAATCTCACTTGAAAGGTAGATACGTAAACGTATACAATAATAAAACATGTATGGCGCTCTTTTAGAAAATAAAGAGAGAATGAGAGCACTTTGAAGAAATGCTATGTTGCGCAATTCCAAATACATTTACAGAAATGAGGCATTTAGAAATAAAAACAGGACACAGACTAATTAAGCTAACATCTCAAGATGGTAATGCTTATTGTGTCATCACTTGAATGATAGAGATTTGTATTTTCTTGTCATTGACTCTTTCTTTCTGTCTTCCCAACGACAAAACATTTGTCACAACTGAAATCATCTGATGACACGCAATAGAAAATATGTCACATCACAGGGTTGTCTTTTGATGGGCGAGACTCAATGGTTTGTGTAAAAGGAATAGTAAGCCGGCATGCCTTTGGACTGGGGGTCTTTGTAGGGGCTACTGGTGGCAGCAGAGGTTAAGTCCTCACACTTGGTGGGCGAGTCCTCTGTGCGCTGACCGTTGAGAGACAAACGCCTTCGCTTGCACGCCATGGAATAGGAATCGGCCTTGTCTGGGGAGAGAGCTGACGGCTGGCTCTCAGTCCAGGGGCTGATCAGGGCCTCGCTGCCGTTCACCTCCTCCTCTATCTGTAACTTAACTTTCTCTGAGTCTTCTGGGAAGCCAGCAGTGGGGCTGGGCCTGGGAGACCACGGCAGGCTGGGCGTGACTTTTCTTTGGTATGCTGATCTGGACCCCCAGCCTGCAGACATTGTGGTAAAAGCAGAGTCTGGGTAGTAGCTGAGGGCGTGAGGGGTTTGCATGGACAGTGATTTGATGCCGTACGGAAGAAGGGAGCTGGAATAGTCCCCCTCGTACGGGGTCAGGTCGAGCTTGTTGGCTGCACCGGTGCCGTTTGCACCTTGCTGCATAGAGGCCACAAACCACCTCTGCGAGGTTCCGTCCTCTGTCTGAGGCGAGAGGAGGCTGTTGGTCTGCGGCACTGCTCTCTCGCAGTTGTAGAAGCGATTCTGCGGAAGGTTGTTGACAAACTGGTCCTGGAAGAGGGGCTGCATGGTGTAGCGCGTGCCCGGGACGATCTGATGGGCACGGGGGGAGTCGTTTGGAGATGGAGTCAGACGGTCATTTTCTGGAGCTGTGTACATTCTAAAGGAAAACAGAAAAAAATAGAAGTTATGATTGGGAGGTCGATGGAAAGCAAGCATGGGAAGGGTTTGCTGTAAATGAGTTAGCAGGCACAAAGTGGGACGTTTTGTTTGTGTGATGTGGAAATATTTAGGAGAAAATACTCACGAATCATAATTATCTCTGAATCCTTTGGCAAAAGGGTTGTGATCAATTTTCAGCTGTGTTATCTGAGGAAAAATATGAAGTTAATTAGTATTGTCTGGTTAAAAAAAACACACAAAATGAGAATGGCACTGTGTGCTTTTTAAACAAATGATTCCTTTCCATTTGATAAGGCATGAATCTTAGCTTATGATAGGATCATACACAAGCAGCTCGGGCCTAACAGACCATTCCCTTAATGGTTCTCTGGACTCACGTCGGTGTTCTGGTAGGCGGTGACCGCTATGAACTGGGTCTCTGGGAAAGTGAAGCACTGCGTCTTCACGTCTCCGCCGATGGCCTCCGCGCCATCCTCCGTCACCTCCACGATGTGCAGCCGCGGCTGGTACTTATGCAGGGACTGCAGGACGATCATCTGCATGTTTCATTATGAATAAGACAGAAAAAAAATACCGTTAATACTTCCCGCACTGGCTTATTAGTAGTCAAAAATTCATTTCAGCGTCAATCGAGTTTACGCGTGGCCTGGATTGGTTCGGTTTGGTTTGGTTTTTGTTTTGTTTTCTGTCCCACCTCCGACAAAAGTCTCCTGAACGATCGTATCGAAGTTTTCGTTCGCAGCCCTGCTGCTGTTTGTGATAAAAACCTCACTTTGTGGCTCACGTATGAGTTTGCAACTTTTTTTCCTGACTGAACAGAAAATAAAAAAAAACTAAAGTTTTCAATCCAAATTGTGCTGCAGGCCCATATCTGTTCGTTCACACCGGAGGCCCTTCTGATGGGAGTGCCAGGCAGTGAAAATCTCAGATGTTTTAGAGTAAATTATACGATCGCATCAAATAATACAGTGAGAAATTTCTTTTTCAGATTTCAGTACCTGGGATGTGTTGTGCGTGGTCCCTTTGTTGTTGGTGAGTTTGAGTTTGCTGAAGGAGATTTCTTGTCTCATCCAGTGGGCCCCTGTGTTTGGAGACTCTGGGTGGATGTAGACTTTGTTCCCTGAGATACAGAATTTTCAGCATGAGATGAAATGAGCAAACCAAAAGTGGGCTTCAGCGCACAGGGCTGATTATTGCCTTTTTTTTCTTTCAAAGGGTGATAAATTGTTAAATCGACTTTGAAATTATCAAAAACGAAACTACCCATAAACCCCGACTGAATTAGCCAACGTTTAATTGTAAATGGGTAATGTTTCCAGTTTAAGTTTTGCACATTCGAATTATTTGTCTTTGGGCCGGTCTTTCCATCTCGAGATTTTTTATTTTTTTTTAATAGAATGAAACGAGTTCAGTTGTAAAAACTGTTCTGGATCGGTTACCTTGACTGCTGTTGTCAGCCTTCCCACAGGTGACCCACTTCCCACCCTGGAACCTCCAGTGGTTGGGGTCCGCCAGCACCACCTCCACAAACACGTTGTAATGTCCGGTCACGTTGAGTCCGGCCATGTTAAAGCTGAGGAAAGGAAACATCCGCCTGCGAACACGCCAGAAAATCAGTGAGCCTGAAAAGAAAACCTGAAACCAAAGGCTGTAGGTGCTGTGAGACAGAGAAAGCCGTGCCCACCTGCCCTGCTTGGTGATGATCATCTCGGTCTGGTGCCGGTGGAACTTGAGCCACAGGGCTCTGTTGCAGAGGTACACCTGGGCCCTCATCCCCGGCCCGGCTCCGGGCAGAGCCACGCTGCCCAGAGCCGGCCCCCCGGAGCCGGGGTAGGGCGGGTAGAGGCCGCCGGCCGCCGGCCCCAGCGGGTAGGGCGGGCCGAAGGGCCCGCGGCCGGCGGCCGGGGGGGAGAAGCCCGCGGGGGGCAGCACGGAGCCCAGGTGGAGGGGCGACGGGTACCTGCCGGCGGCGGGCGGGGCGTACACCGTCCCGGGGGGGGCGTACGGGACGAAGGAGCAGGGGCTGGCCGTTTCCGGGCTCTGTTTGGACGCCCCGGGGGGGGCGTAGTAGCGGTCGGACCCCATCCCGGGCTCCGCGTACCTGTTCCCGGCTGAAGACTCCTCCGCGTCCCCGCCCGGAGACTTCCGCCTCTCCTCCGCCGCGGCTTTGGCAGAGTAGGAGCCGCTCTCTCCCTCTCCCCCGAGCATGGCTGGGTTCCTATAAGCCTCCGCTCGGCCTCTTCAGGGGTGTTTGCTGCTTTTGATCCCAGTTAACCGGTATTTTTGTGGTGTGTTCCTCCACTCACTAGAATGTTTTTACAAGGGTCCTCTTCCGCACGCCTCCACCTGATGATAGAAACAGATATGATAGATTCAAAAGTAAGTTTTCCACGTGTAAAGACATCATACAGTCAGCTGAAAGTCCGCTAACTATATTTAAAGGCCTCCTTTGAGATAGTCTGTCAAAGGAAGCCCCAGCTTTAGTTCATATTTTTGATTTTTGATTTTTGATTAATAAAGGCCTGTTATAAAAAATCTAACTAAATTGATCATGAGAAATGCATTTCATTATCTTTTTTTTTTCTTGTCTGTTCTTCAACCTTGAGCAGACAGAAATAAAAAAAATTGAATAAAACACAAGTTACTTCATACAATAGGCATAATCATCAAATTGATCAGATCGAAATCTTCGAAGAAAAAGTGTCCAAAAACTTTCCGAACACCTCAGATGGTGCTATGTCCAGACAATTTAGGCTGATATTGGAGGGAGTCCCCTCAAGGCACATAAAACCCGTTTCTTGTAAATCATGAGACAAACATGAAGAAGGATGCACATATTTTGGGGGTAGCTCCGGGGAGAAAAACAGCAAGTGAAAACTCGCCCACGGCTCTTGAAATTCGTGGCAGGTTTCAAGAGCTAAAAACAATTTTAGAGATCAAAATTTGTTTTGAAAAAAAAACAAGTAGCCTACCGTTATATTGGATTTTTGTATTCGAATTTCCCTGCAAAAACATTAAAACCCCTTTCGGTTAAAGATTCATTTTTGTTTAGTTTTTTCAATAAGCTACTGCCAATTTATTATGATGATCGTTTAAGGAAAATTGTCGTTACTTCATTTTCTCTGACAAACCGATTATTCTGTCAGTATTCAGAGTTAATGAAATGAATTCATTCAGTTTGGATGCATTATTGTGTCCCAATGGGACACGAATAGGGGATATGGCCAATTATTTTTCCGTCTGAAGAAACCGGTGATGCTTCTTGGAACAGACAGTCAAACGTGAGAAACAGAAGCAGCTAAATCTAAACAGCTCTGGAGTTAAAAGGAAAAAGGGACGAATACGCTATAACTGAATAGAAAGTTTTATCAGACATTTACATATGTAGCTTAGTTCTCAAAAAACAAACCAAACAAAACAAAAACAAAAACAGGATTGTCTGTGATCAAATGTATAGTTTCTAACTCTAAAAGTAGAAGAAATTGTTATCAATATTTTTGATGGTGTGTTTTTATATCCGCTACAACGTAAATTGACTTAAATCATCCATCAGGACTGTGTAAGTGTTTTTTGAATATTTGCACATGTGTGTAAATAGAGTGGATCAACTTACCAGGCGTGTGTTCTCCCTCCGTTCAATTTGTAAATCAGGTTCAGGACGCATGAATGAACTCTTAAACAACTTCAACGCGCGGAGCGGACCAAAGATCACAGAGTGGCATCGTGTTTGGCGCAGATGGTGCAAAAATATGGAGTCGGAAGGGGGGAAAAAGCCCGAGCCATGTGCGGGTGGGCTGATCAGTGCTGTTCAGTGCTGCTTGTGCTCTGCTTGTGGCCATGATGCGCCGAGAGCAGCTTTATATCAGCTCTGATCAGCAGGGGAGGGGCAGGGGATCCTCGGCATCACTCTGCATCCTCATACCACATTCACCCGGGGATCAGCCTCAGTTGGTCGGATCACTCATTTCAGGGCTGGAGATGTTCTGCAGAGAAATGCTGAGTTTACAGGGACAGTGTTTGTTAAGATGCTCATTCCTTTAGGGGTTTAAAACCAATCAAGAAAGTTCATTTGTCCCTCAGCATTCCAGATGTGACCTGGCTTCCATTGTCAGGACTACGGCCTGCCATTTGAAAGGTTGTGAGAACAAAAAAATGTCCCTGAAAAGTGAACCCAGTCAAGAAATCTTGTCCATTTGTAGCCAGGAGCTAATACTATGTTACATGCAGATATTGTTAAGTGCCCCTGAGAATAATGAGAGGCTGTTTCCTCCGACAGTTGCATGGGTGAGAGCTGAGGAGAAGCAGCATGTCCCCCGCCACAAAAACCACAGCGCTGTTGTGGTGGTAGTCTCAGTTTATAAATGCAATCCCCATATCAGGTGTGGAGGGGCCTCAAATATCAGACCATGAAAAGGCATCCTCCAGAAGCGGTTTCCTACAAAACACGCACACAAAAGCAGAACCTGAGCTATGATTAATTGAGTGGCTGTTAGCTCTCCTCTTCAGTACACACCAGAATGCCTGTGATTATCTTCAGCTTTGTTTTGTTTTTTGCTCTGTTTTTTTTAGAAGTACAAATTTTCTCTGATCACTTTGGCTACTAACAGCCTCTTCCTCCTTGGCTGGTTGCTACTTCCTCTCTTCAAAGGAGCCCAAACTCAGACAGAGTTACACTGAATTGCCCTGTTAATGGCAGAACTTTTAACAGCTCAGAGCTGCCCCTCTCTCACACCAGACGATGCTCAGCTGCTGCTGTTTACTCAGAGAAACATTTCCATCATAAAGACGGTGAAGGGATTAGCAAAGCAGGCCACCACCTCTGAAATAAACACCACACATCAAACAGGACAAATGAAAACTGTTTGAAGAGCAAACAGTCTATAGCTAATACACTTCTGCTGATAGCAGAAGATAAAGTGAACGAGTTGTTTGATTGTTTCAGAAACTCATGCATATAGACTTAGAATTTGCAGACCTTGCTGTGGAAATGGATTTGCTCTGAGGTCCCCAGCATGTTGGTCTTTTTCCCATTTGCCAACTACCCAAAAAACAGCCCTTATTAGCGAATTCTCTGAATCTGATTTACACCAATAGTTTGCACTCCATTGAAATCACGGATGTTCGACTACCAAATCTTTTCTTTCTTTGTCCAGCAAATGATTGGTCTGACTCATGATGACATGCTTTGATGGTAGAAACTGTGAATCACAAGTGAGACACACTCATCGACACAATAATTGCAGCTCTTCTCAGCTATAATAAAAAAGTTATTGAGTTTGAACCATAAAAACTTATCTATACTGATTTTTAAGCAGCAGCACTTATGATGATATCAATACAGTATTTATTTATATATATGTATATATATATGAAATGATCTCAGACATAGTTTTGTTGTCAAACCAGAGTTCTTTGTAAGGCCAGTTTCAGCCACTAGATGGTCATTAAAGGCTTGTTTAGCCTGAAGAAAACACAAGAAAAAGAGGGAGCAACAACTGCTGATAGCTGCAAACGATCAGAGAGAAAAAAGGCAAAATACCATCATACCAACTGTGAAGCATGGTGGTGGAGCGGTAGTGTCATGGGACAAGTCTGGGACTTGGAAGCAGAAGGGGACGCCATGCAGTCACTGAATCGACCATGAAACATGTCCTCATACCAGAATATTTTAGAGTGACATCTGAGGTCAAAGGTCTGACAGCTACAACTTAAAAGAAACTGAATCACTCTATTTTGTTACGATCCCACGTAAAATACAACTAATTATTTCTACAAAAGAATACTGAAAAGGATATAACTGAGTTGTGACAATCCTAACCCACTGATTGACAGCTAAGACAAAAGAGTAACCAGTCTTTCACAGGTTCACAATAAGACATCCAAAACTAATGCTTTCAAGTATTTGCCTTGCTTGGGTTATGCTGTCTTGTTTTCTCTACCAAAGACAAACACAATCTTCAATCTTACACTTCATCCAAAAGAAAATCTTTTCACTTAATCAAATAATACCGTTTGGCCATTCATTGGGCAGCCAGTCTGTGAAATGGCTTCCGCCGTTCTGCCACGCTCATTGAACAGCTTCCTCTAGCTGTGCCTGCTTTTTGACACGTCTAAAGGGCTGTTTTTGACATCGGGCCATTCTGTCGGTCACGCCCCCACCAGCGCCATGCCAGGCGGGAGGAAAAAGCTGGTGACCTGGCCGTAGTGGTGGTGCCCTAGGCCACTGTCACCCTGCTGGCAGCAGAAGGTCTGTTGGTCTGGAGCCACGCCACAAACACTGTTCAACTCAGCTTGTGATGTCACGACAGACCCGCCTTCAGACGAGGAGCTTCACTGGCTGGGATCGCTCTTCTCACTTCCTGGAAAATTCCCTTTTTAATGCCCTACAGACCGGCACCTCAATTGAATTATCACCAAATGAAAGAGATTGAAGCTATTGGCCTTTCAGTGTTAGAGCTTACATCAACTAACTACAGAGAACATATGTATGAGCTCTAATCTACTGAGGAGCATTGTTTAAAGGTCTGAAATTGGATCTAATTTCCCTGGTAAGTATTTTTTAAACTCATCTTTGACATGCTTTTCTTTATATGACAAGATTCAGGATATGCCCAATGTGTTTCTTGACAGAAGTTAACATTCATGTTCATGCAATTGACAGTTTATGAAGGCCTTAATCAATTAATTCTCTTAAAGGTATATTTTTACCTTGGATTAAGCAGAAACATGTGTAACATATAAAAAAAAACATAGAGAAAGATAGGGATAATGTGTAAGCTACTGAAACACCTCAGTAAATAATGTAAAGTTCATTCTGGTGTATTCACACAACACAAACACTCATCAAAAATTGTTTTCATCAAGTGGGCTTCAAAGGTGATTGCCCTTAGTGACCCATGTCCTTGTCTCCCCCCTTTGGTTATATTTATGGTTCGTTCCTAGATCCTGTTAAGAGTAGCAGCAGGAGCGAACCATCACATTTGGTGCTCAGCGTGGGGGCCGTTGGTGAACTGTCATGTTCCAGCTATCCCATGGAGATACACTTCTGCCTCTCTGTGAAGATTGGGTGTTTTCTCATTTGCATTTGCTAATGAGATCCTGTTTGCATGACTTTATACTGAATGTCTGTCCATCTGAATATCTCTTTCCAAATACAGGAGGTGGGTAAAGTCCTATTTATTTAATCTTCATTCTCCAATTAGTGCCAT